TTTGAATCCACGTGACATATTTTAGTGACTATTTGAATCCACATGACATATTTTAGTGACTATTTGAATCCAATGGACATATTTTAGTGACTATTGAATCTAATGCACATATTTTAGTGACTGTTTCAATCCGCTGGACATATTTTAGTGACTGTTTGGATCCATTTGACATATTTTAAATATTATTCAACCAGTATGACTCCCACGGGGAAAGTAAGTGTAATCAATTATGATTAAGTCCATATTAACAATAACTTAGGCAATATGTTTTTCACGGGTGGCCTAAACTCCATGAAAATCACTCTGTCTGAGTGAAAGCTACATGGCAGATTTTTCAAAAATTAGAACATCATCCCCGGTGTAATTGTCTAGTCAAATCGAAGAATATCTTTTAACCCAGGGTAATGGCTCTTTAACAACCGTTTTAGTTTGTAAAATCTTTATTACTAATTCTTGCATTAAAAAAAACTGGAAACGATTTAGAACCATGTTCTAATGTTTCTGAAAAAGATTGGTTATCAGTAAAATAATTACAACATGTCTTAATATTGATGCCAGTTGATTGACAGCAGCAGTTGTATGAAACTTCATTAACAATTCCAGATCTTCCTGATATTTCTTTGATTAAAGGCTGTCTACATGTAAATCTAATCTGTGTTTGAGGTTTCATATTAACAATTTAATTTGTGGCTGATGTAAAATTTATACCCTCAACTGACCGCCTGTCCTCTTAGCCACATGATAGTCTTCCTGAACGAATTCTTAAATCTGATCATTGAATTCAATATCGGATCCGCGCCCTCAAGGGCGTGAAATGAATTGAAATGAAATGTGTTTTATCGTCCTACTTCTCTGGACAGAGACGGCCGTGCACGATATAGCGTACCATGAGAGACACATTGCCAGAATAGTTTCGCTACGACCCACTTTTATTTCGAATTACAACTGTCAAAGGTTCTTTTACGTGCACACCACCGTATACACAGGCCTCGTTTTTTGAAGCATTCGAAGGATTAGGCACTGTCCTTGCCAGGCCCTCATTCCTACTTGCACTGGCAAAGGGAAACCGCAATGGAAACCTCCGGGGATCTTTCTCTGCCAAAACCGGCATCGAACCCTGGACCTCCTGTTTAGTGTGCCAGTGGCTTACCCACTAAGCCACCACGGCTCCCTTGATGGGCGTGAAGGCAGTTGATGTTAGAAAGGCGTTTTTTTTATCAATCACACATTTCATTAATCCCATAAAATAGAAAATTGTGAATAAAAGGTTAATTAAAACATAACTGGAGAAAACTCACACAGTGACGCTATTTTTTGTCACGTACGTGGAAACCACTACTCTTGACACATCGAGAGTCATTAGGTTCTAAAGGGCACGAATTGAATCTCATTTTGTAGTAGATTTTTTTTTAATCTCGCCGTCCTGGAAGATATGTCCATCAATCTCCTTTAGTGATTTTGATTCAAAAATACAAAATAATTTAAAAAAAAAGAATAATGATTTAAGGATTATTCGGTACGTGTCATGGTGCCATTTTTATGTGCTTGCTCCTTCTGACCCTTGAATCTGTCCACGCCCATACACCATTATCTATACAAGCACGTTGAATAGAAATAAGAACGCGTGCATATTTACATAGCATATGCATGCATTCGCTAATTTATCTTGGTAATATTATTTGAAACTGTTCCTACCAACCCCACCATTGTTTGATAAGATTGTAAATATAATGTCTGGTTTTCTCACAAGTTTGATCAGAAACCAGAGTTTGTTTATATTCATACAAATACAGTTTTGTTAAACATGCATTGAACTAATGATACAATTATTATGGACAGAAGCAAATGCCAAGAGTTTCGAACATTGAATATCACAAACAATATGTTGTTGAAATGAAATGAAATGGGAATTAACGTCCTACTGTTCTGCTCCTATACTGGGCTAATGAAGACGGGCATACGCCATACAGTGTACTATGAGGGAAATTTTGCCCGGGCAGCGGCACTACCGCCTACTCTTATATCGAATTCCAACTGCCAAGGGATCTTTTACGTGCATTCAAATACATACACGGGACCTCGGTTTTTCGTCTCATCCGAAGGACTAGACAACTGTCATTGCCAGGCCCTCTGTTCTGCACCTACAGGCTAGCGAGCCAGCGTCTAACCCGATTAGCGTTCATCCCGATTTTCCGGCGTGGTTCCCCCTTGTCAGTGATGCAGAACGGAGGGCCTGACAAGGACAGCGGTCTAGTCATTCGGATGAGCCGAAAAACCGAGGTCCCGTGTACACATTGGCGTGCACGTAAAAGATCCCTTGACAGTTGGAATTCGATTTAAGAGGAGGTCGTAGTGCCGCTGTTCGGGCCAAATTTCCCTCATAGCACACTGTATGGCGTATGCCCGTCTTCATTAGCCCAGTTCGGAGCAAAACAGTAGGACGTTAAATCCCATTTCATTTCATTTCATTTGCTTGCATTCATATTTATAACGGTAATTATAATCATAATCAATATATATTTGTTTTATTTAATTGGTCATAATTTAAGTTTTGTGATGAAAAACCCGGAAAAAGATCCCTGGCAGTCAATAGGCTTATATTAAAAATACATTAACTATAATAATTAAATTATAGTAATGGTCGTTCAAATACGATTACAGATAACCACCTACTTACTTATAATGGCTTCATGTTCAATGTTTTATGTGAAAATGTTAATAGATGTAACACGTTGCTCTTCATTTAGTTAGTGATGGCAAGTTACATACGAAAGTTACGCTTTCTCTCTATAATTAGCTCCGCTTGAGAACAGACACGAAGCTAATTAACCGACATTTTAGTTCCTAAATCGACGATTTTAGTCGAAAACACTAATATGCTTCGAGAATGTCGGGATTTAATAAAACTGAAAATGTTTATTTAGTCTTTGTGTGTACGAAAGATCTAAAACGGATTAGAACCCCATAACAAAATAATATACAACATATACACCAAGTCGATGTTTAAAATATAAGTAAGTGAAACAAGCCAACATTGAGGCTGATGTCTACCGCCAAATTGAAAACGTAATTAGATGAAACACACTTTTTAATTGCATATATTTATCTCTTTATAAAGCTTTGACCATTTCACTACTCTCACTCAATTGGAATCAAAGTTATGTCCAAAAACATCGATGCAGAAAATGTTCATTTTTCAACTTAATCAAGGTACCGATGTAATGAAACTATAGGAAATGCGCATTATCGAACTTAGTCAGGGTATTGATGTAATGATATACGCCAAGTTTCAATTACCACTTAATAAGAAGCAAAGTTATCGTGTCCCAAAGCATCGACCAATCAAATTGCGAATCTCTGCTTAGCCTAAGCAGAAAATGCTCATCATCGAACCAAACAACCAAGTCAATGCATTCACTTAATAAAATCCTACACCACGTAGAGTTCTTGTTTCCCAAAGCGTGACGGACAGACAGACGCACAGACCCATTTTAATAGTCCCCTGCTTTCTTCGGTAGGTGGGGGACAAACATATATAAAATACATACTACTGAGTTGCAGGAAGAAGAAAAGCAGTTACTTACATGTAGCAGTTTTTAACAAGACATTCTCAAATTATCCATAACGGTTAACGAGTGTTGTAATCTCACACAATATAAGTCCACTGGGGTCAAATCGCCCTCTAGAAGTTTATCACACGATAATAAAATCATTTGACTAACAATTAATTATTTAACCCCAAATGAACAAACCATGCTAAAAAAAACTGTTCTGGAGAACGGGCTTACAATTGATCAACACCTGTTTAGTGCAGCCCGGGATGACACAAACAAACTTGTTAATAGATCAAAAGCTGATTATTACAACAAACTTATTGAGATAATGTGGATAATCCTAAAACACTTTTTGGCACTTTAATGCTTTACTTGGCAAGACGCGGGATGTGCCCTATACCAAAGAAGATGATTTGAACAACGCAAACAACTTCAATACGTTTTTTTAAATCCGTTCAGGATTTAATCAAGTATTTGATAGCATTGTTGCTGATGATTGCATAGGTGAAAACTTTGAATCTTTTGAACCAGTCAGTGGACATGATCTCAAATCTATTATTAAAAAGTCTAAACCCACGTCATGTTGTTTAGGTCCCATTTCAACCAATCTCCTGCTTCATGTGTTGGATGTTATTCTTCCTGTAGTAACTAAAATTGTTAATACTAGCCTGAAGAATGGTACTGTTCCTCAGGCTTTTAAACATGCTATCATTAAACATCTATTAAAGATACATTATGGGAGATAAGATAAAGAGATGGCAGTTCTCGCTATAATAGTTAAAAACTAGATAGTGAAAAGGTAATTTGCTGAAAATTTCAGTCAAATTGATCCACTATGAGCCGAGAACGAAGCAGGTGAAAGTTTTGCATAGTCTCGGTCATCATTACTAATATCATTAATATAAACAGCATAGTCTAGATTATCAACTTTTTTGATTTAATTATCAATGGCGTTAGCGGTATATAGGAATCTAATCCAGCCAACATCGAAGGTTAGCCATGACATAGAGAGTTTATTATGGTCTGGATAAGTTAATTAATGTCTAATTGATAATTAAGATAACGTTTCAGGCCTAAAGAATCAGCTGTCCTTGCAGGGATTGAACACGCAACCTTCAGTCTACCGAGCCAGCGTCTTACCCACTTGGCCACCGTGGCTCCAAGTAAAAGTTGAGCCAAATGGAAAAGTTTAATCAAAAGTAAAAGTTTAATCAAAAGTAAAAGCAAAAGTTTAATCAAAAGTAAAAGTTAAATCAAAAGTAAAAGTAAAATTAAAATTAAAAGTTAAATCAAAGTAAAAATTAAGTCAAAAGTAAAACTTAAAATTCAAAATGTAAATTAAAATCAAAACGAAAATGAAACTAAAAGAATTTTTAAAGGTAATTTGAAATGTAAAACAAAAGTAAAGGTGAAACGCAAAATAAAAACACTTGTCGGCTTATATCATTCAACAACTAAATGATAACGATATGCTGTCAAGTAGGACATGCGCGCGTTCATGATAATTATAATACGTCATTGGCAACTATAGTTAGTTGATTCATCGGATATTGTACTAGTATTTGATTTTTTAATTCCAATCATAATGGGTGGTAACAGAAGATACGGATATTTTCAGTGTTCATCTTGCAGACAGAAGTGGGAGAGTTCACATGTTTACGTGAAGAAAGGAACGGAAAAGGTAAAGATCAACAATTCAACAATATGTGAAAAAGTTGTTGATAACTCCTTATCAGATCATATTTGATGAATATGAAGCACTGGGGCATATTGTGGTCCGCGGAGGGCGTTTAACCATCTAGGCACGAGAAAATAATTGTTGAATTTCAACCAAGAATAAGCAACTTTCACTTTCACTTTCTATTAAACATATATTTTGTATCGAATCGTTCTAAATCTTGCTTTAGATACCTTCCCATATACAAACTTGGTGATTTGATGATATATGTAGACAAGAAACCTATTCGAACTAATAAATCTATCAAAAATTTGCTTCAAATCCCTCTCAAAACATTGTGTTGACCAGGAAATACCGGACGCTATAAAAATATATAAAAAGAATTCATGTTTGTGTCATGTGGCTTGGTAGTCAACGGGTTCCGAGCTGGAGGAGAATCCATTGCATATAAAAGACGATATTGTCTTAATCGCTGTTCATTTACCATAAATATCGAAGTAAATTCTGGGATTATCCCCGCCCACATCTTTTTCCGTGTTTTTTTTTATTTCAGAAACAGTTGTACGCTAAAGTCTGTCACATTTTTCACGTCCGCTCAAGTTTATTAACATATACATCAAGCTCCCCCTAACACAAGAGGCCAGACAATCTACGCGTGCAACATTTGACGCATATTCCTGAAGCCATGGCCCAAGAAATTCCTCTCTGGTCATTGCTTGATTGGCTTCTGATACTTGAGCTTTTGAGGTAGTGTGTTTATTATTCCCGTTCAATCAAATCAAGCACATCACAGGGTTCAATTTAGTCTAAAACCAATGAGTAGCACATTTTTGTGGCAGATTCACATTTTGGCTAATCAATTCAAAATTTGAATAGCATTTGCTCAAATTTGAGGAGCAATAAACCGTACATCACAAAAAATTGTAATTCTGATTAATAAACAATATTATAATCTTTAGTCTTGTTTTATTGTTCATTATTTACATGTACATGTAACACTTAACAACAAATAAACAATTAACATGTATTTGGCCTTCTCGGTTGCGAAAAGAATATTTGTACACATTCAGTGGCATTTAAATTCTGCAGCTACTGGCCCCTCTAACTTAATTCGCATTAAATTCCCAAGAGTAGCTTCAGATAATTTATTGCGCCAATCTGTTTTAATGCGACCCATCGCTGAAAATGCACGTTCAAGTTTTGCATTTGACACTGGGTAAGTCAAAAGAATTAAAATTACATGGCAAATGTTTGGGAAAATATCTCTCCCGTGTGCTAAAATATTTTTTAAGACCTCGTTTATAAAGTCCGTTTGAGGCGACTGAGCACTACACATATTTTGCAACCAAAAGGTTTTCAAGTTTCTCCACTCATTTTGAAGCAGATGAGTTTCTACACCTCGTTTATCCAAAATATTTTAAGGTGTTTTCTGAAAAAATCCAAAGATTCAACTCCAAAATTCCCTAGAGACGTTTCATCTCTAGGCCAGTTTGGGATATTAATGAGTTTCAAAATTGTAAATGTTTCACTTTTATTTAAATCACCAAACCTGCTTTTAACACATTCTTCCAATTTTCTCTCAAGGTTTGTAGATTTATTTTCAAACACTATTTTGTCATACTTAATATTTATCCCCTTGAATGATATGTCCGTTGGGTCATTTGTAGCAGATTCTAATAGTTCCTTTAAATCACCATTAAATTTATTTGTACTAAAGTCTTCTAAAACCGTATAAAATGTATCTAGGCAGGACATTGCAAAAAGTAAATCTATACTTGAACCTTGCAACATAAGAGATAGTTTTGATATAGGTTCTAATAGCTCACTAAAATATAGCAAGTACACAACAAATTTAAATGATTTTAGTTTACTTAAATAACCCTTCATTTTGCATTGGTCTTCTTTTTTTGTTGAGGGATCCTCAGCAATGTTTTCAAGGTGTGTAACTATCACAGGGTAGGATTTGATCAGTGAGTTACAAGCACTTCGTTTATGCTGTAACCACCTAGTTCCTAAAGCCTTTTCCGGTTTACTGACTGTTTGTTCCATTATTTCTACTAATTCACGCAATTCCCTCAGGCGTTTTGGGGAATGGTTATAGAGGGATTTTAAACTGTTTAAAATGGCCATCATATCACCACATTTTTGAGCACCCGCTAAATGTGTCCTTTGCAGCTAATTCCAATCTGTGGTTTAAACAATGAATTACGATCAACCAATCCATTTCCTTTTTTAATAACTCTCCCAACCCGTGTTTGTTTCCCATATTAACACTGGCGCCATCAGCCATAAACCCAACCCATTTACTTTCGAAGTCTATTAACCCGCTTTCTTGAAACGCTTCATATAACATTGATTTTAGGCCTTCTGAAGTTACGATATGCGCATTTTTTAGTCTTAAAAAGTTTATTTCAACCTCACCAGTTGGTGAAACTGTTAATAAATAAATTACTTCTTTTTCAACACTACTTACGTCGGTACACCCATCGATTAACACAGTAAAATACTCTTAGTTATTTATTACCGACAATATTTTGTTTTGAATCCAGTCACCTATTAAGTTTGTAAACTCTTGACATTTTACATCTGTAGCATATCTGTCACCCAGGTAAACGCCGTGGTTTTTCTCAAGCTCAACAAACTTTGGAAATTTAGAAAATGAAATCTCCTCCCTCGCAAGTGTATATGCTATGTCAAACAATTTTGTCACTCGACCTCTTGCTTCCTCTTCGGCGCCAGAAAATGACTGGAAAATTGAAGCCTTTCTTATAATGTCTATAGCAGGAATCCCAATTTTATTTTCGTATTGGACAGCTTTAATATGTGGATCCGATATAATGTGTTTGCGTAAATTGTCTGCCTTGAGTGCCGATCCTGTGGTTCCGACAATGAATGCCCTACTAAAATTTATCGAGCAGTTTATTTTATTTTCATGCTTAGAACAAAGTTTGCAGGAAACTTTATTTACAATGCCAGCTGTTTCAAGTTCATATTTTAACCATTTTTTATCTTTATCATATTTTTGTATCCAGGAATGCACCGTGGCTAATTTTATTCCATTTGTTTGCCTTTTCGAGCTAGCAGACGACGCCATTTTATCTTAGCACGCGCTCACTGTAGTCTTAAATAACCAGACGGACAAGACTTTGGTAACTGCGCTTAGTTGCATACTGGATAATGCGGGACTATTTCCTCCCACAGCAACCATAGCAACAGGCGGTGATTTACCCTGGATTTACCAGACAGTTTTTCTATATTGAACGCATTGTACATGTCCGCGTCTGGAAAAACAAGACAAGATGGGTTTTTTTTTATCGGCGCTATTGTTTTCTCCAATTTACCGATTTATTAATTAAATTAGTCGTGATACTTTTATCCAAATGAAGTATTTTCATCCAAAATATAATGAATCGCATTTCACAAGTTTGAAATCAATTTTTGGCTAATCAATAAAATAATTATATCGCTTCTACCGAAATTTGAATCGCTTTTTGCGATGCGATACCGCTTAAATTGAACCCTGGTACATCAACATGACAGCTCTTCGTTTAATCTGGGGTCTTCCCTAAACCTTTGGACAGTGATTTAAGGTATTAAAAACGGTGAAAGTATTGTTCGTCTCCATACAGTATTGTTTACATTGTATCCGTGTTGTTACGCAATCAGTTTTTCTGCAATATTCTGCTATGCACTGGTTAATTCGGCATAATAAAATCGTGAGTCATGACTCATGACGTAACGTTAGGTAAACATATTTGGTCCAATTTGGAGCTCTATTTAAAGCGTAATGATATTGTTACGCAGTAAGTTATTGGTTGTTAATCGGACTATTGACCAGTCATAATTTGGAACATAAATTTGCTTCCTTTACAGCAGTGTTAAGTGGGATTAGCTCTAATCAAAAAAAACACTGCGAGGGGTATGCATTTGACGTCACTCGAGCAGACAGCACTAATTCCTCAGGCTGTCAATCACTGCCAACCTCTCATTTTCGGCCTGTAAGCGCTCCAGTATTTGTCTAGTAAGATTTGGCGTCTCAACTTTCCATATGTACCAAAATTTCCATACTTTTATTGGAAATAACCACCCGGTAAATACGTTTGTGGGAAAATATCGTTAAACGTGTTTCCAAGTTGGAGTCAGTTGTTATCTATCTTGTCACGTATCACAAAAAATATGTCTCCAAAATACCATAATTCAGCATAAGCCCGTGTACACTTGGTCGCGATAATCGTGCCGTTCTCGGCACAGTACCAGGCCGTGATAAATTTCAAGAAATTGACGTATTTACATTACTCTAAAATAACCGGCTTCGGAACCGTGCCAGGGACGCCAAATGTGGAACTCTTCACAGAAAAGTTAATTTCAGTCCCTATGCAAATTACCCGGACAAAAACAATTATGGAGGTTGATTTAGTCTGAGCACCCAGTGGTATTGAGCCTTTAAATTCAGCTTCTCGTGATAGTTTGGACCTAGGGTTCAGAAGTCGAAACCCTCGAGTAGAAGATAACTCCTTGGCGAAGGTTGCCAAGATCCTAAATTATTTAAATACCACAGCTACAATGTTGACTACTGTGAGAAGTGGGATCAGAATGACCGTCTGACATATTTCAAGATTTGTTGAATCACTATCAACAATAACGTAAATTGGAACACTAGACAATGAATCAATCAAAACCATTGCACGACACCAAATCATATTTCATGTATAATAGCAACAATTTATTAAAGCACGTCGTGATTTAAGGTGAAATATTGAATAAATGTAGCACCAAGACACTTGCCAAAACTGTTTGTGAGTCTCCATTCAAATAAGTGACGTTAATGTATTTGTTTAACTTGTATGGAAACTAAACATTGTGTATCTACATACGTCACTTCTTGTTCGCAGTGTGAAGTTGGATCGTTTTTCGTTATTCGTCATTCACCAATAACGAATAACGAGGTGATCCACGATCATTAGACAACAATAGACTAATGGATTGCAAAGTATCCCCTAGCAGTAGAAACATATTAAATAACGTATAGTCGATAAATAAACCAGATTGTTATTCAAGCGGTGAATAACGAATAACGAACTGTTTGTTATTCGTTTTTCACCTCGTTATTCGGGATTCACATATGAAGTGGTTTATGCATATTTAATTAGGATAATTCAGAATTTAATTCAAAACGATCACAATACAACAATAGAATAATGGATTTCAAAGTATCCCCTAGCAGTAGAAAACATATTAAATGACGTATAGTCGGTAAATAAACCAGATTGTTATTCAAGCGGTGAAGAACTATACAACGATAGAATAATGGATTGTAAAGTATCCCCTGGCAGTAGAAAACATATTAAATGACGTATAGTCGATAAATAAACCAGATTGATATTCAATCGGTGAATAACGAATAACGAGCTGTTTGTTATTCGTTTTTCACCTCGTTATTCGGGATTCACATATAAGGTGTTCATGTATCTTTAATGAAGTTATTTCCGGATTTAATTCTAAACGATTATTAGACAACAATAGAATAATGGATTGCAAAGTATCCCCTAGCAGTAGAAAACATATTAAATAACGTATAGTCGGTAAATAAACCAGATTGTTATTCAAGCTGTGAATAACGAATAACGAGCTGTTTGTTATTTGTTTTTTCACCTCGTTATTCGGGATTCACATATGAAGTGGTTCATGCATCTTTATTGGGGATAATTCAGGATTTACTTCAAAACGATCACTATACAACGATAGAATAATGGATTGTAAAGTATCCCCTAGCAGTAGAAAACATATTAAATGACGTATAGTCGATAATTAAACCAGATTGTTATTCACGCGGTGAATAACGAATAACGAGCTGTTTGTTATTCTTTTTTCACCTCGTTATTCGGTATTCACATATAAGGTGTTCGTATATCTTTAATGAAGATATTTCCGTATTTAATTCTAAACGACCATTAGACAACAATAAACCAGATTGTTATTCAAGCCGTGAATAACTAATAACGAGCTGTTTGTTATTCGTTTTTCACCTCGTTATTCTGGATTCACATATAAGGTGAAACATGTTAAATGACCACACTATATTATATTCAATACTTTATTCTGACTTCCATTCGTACAGTCGACCATTACATGTTCTCGCTTCGATGTACAGAATACTTGTGCACGCTTTACCATGACAACTAGATCTACGACTGCGCACACACACACAAACTGGGTTATTTACCGACTATACTTCATTTAATACGTTTTCTACTGCTAGGGGATACTTTGCAATCCATTATTCTATTGTTGTCTAATGATCGTTTTGAATTAAATCCGGAAATATCTTCATTAAAGATACATAAACACCTTATATGTGAATCCCGAATAACGAGGTGAAAAACGAATAACAAACAGCTCGTTATTCGTTATTCACCGCTTGAATAACAATCTGGATTATTTACCGACTATACGTCATTTAATATGTTTTCTACTGCTAGGGGATACTTTGCAATCCGTTATTCTATTGTTGTCTAATGATCGTTTAGAATAAAATCCTGAAATATTTTCATTAAAGATACATGAACACCTTATATGTGAATCCCGAATAACGAGGTGAAAAACGAATAACAAATAGCTCGTTATTCGTTATTCACCGCTTGAATAACAGTCTGGTTTATTTACCGACTATACGTCATTTAATGAGTTTTCCACTGCTAGGGGATACTTTACAATCCATTATTCTATTGTTGTTGAGTGATCGTTTTGAATTACATCCTGAATTATCCTCATTAAAGATGCATGAACCCCTTTATATGTGAATCGCGAATAACGAGGTGGATAACGAATAACAAACAGCCTGTTATTCGTTATTCGCCGCTTGAATAACAATCTGGTTTATTTACCGACTATACGTCTACTTTTCCACTGCTCGGGGATACTTTACAATACATTATTCTCTGCTGATTGTTTTGAATTAAATCCTGAATTATCCTCATTAAAGATGCATGAACCCCTTTATATGTGAATCCCGAATAACGAGGTGAAAAACGAATAACAAACAGCTCGTTATTCGTTATTCGTTGTTCACCGCTTGAATAACAATATTTACCGACTATGCGTGTACTAATGAGTTTTCTACTGCTAGGGGATACTTTACAATCCATTATTCTATTGTTGTATAGTGATCGTTTTAAATTAAATCCTGAATTATCCTCATTAAAGATGCGTGAACCCCTTCATCTGTGAATCCCGAATAACGAGGTGAAAAACGAATAACACAGAGCTCGTTATTCGCTGCTTGAATAACAATGTGGACTGTTTTCGTCTAGAAGTCATTTTGCTGTCTTTTATACTACTGGGAGATACTTGACATGCATCATTCTAGTCATGGCTAGCTGCATATGTGAATCACGAATAAAAAGCTGAATAACAAATAACGAATAACGAGGTGGCGTATCCCTCGTTATTCGCGAATAACGAGGTGATCCACCTCGTTATTCGTTATTGGTGAATAACGAATAGCGAAAAACGATCCAACTTCACACTGCCCTTCTGGTTTACAATTTAATTACTTAAAATTTAACACGGATTTTTTTTTAAAAACAATACATGTAATTAGAAAATGTTTTTCTCTATGAAAAAACAAATGGGGAAAATTTCATTTCTCTTCAAGATTATTTCAGACTTATTTGCAATATCTTTCCTTTTATATATATATTTGTTTATTTAAGGTGGAGTATGGACAAGAGTGTAAAAGGTGTAAAATCGTTTGTTATCCATACCGGGTGGAACCAATCCGATGTTCTCGCTGTGGCCAAACTGACTGTGACTGTCAAAAAGACAGACATATTGATCTAACTAAAGCCCACAGAGCTGATCTGTGTATGAGATGTAGAGCAGGGAAACTCTGTGATACACGCAATTAGTAGACGAATACATAAAACACGACCAAAAGTATTCAAAATGTTATTTACATCACCAACTAAATTGTAACTGAAATCAGTGATTTATTTATATTTTAAATAGTCAACTTTACTTTTTGTCTTTAATTTTATTAATGTGATATAATGTGATACAACGTCAATATTTCGTAGCTCTGAATTTACGAGGTCTTTTAATAAATCAAAACTTACAGTGCTTTATTTATATTTTAAATATTCAACTTTACTTTTTGTCTTTAATTTTGTTAATGTGATATAGATATCAAAATATGAATTATATACATTTTTGATACTCATTTTGTAATATGTGATAATCTGAAACAACTGTCAAAATGTGAATTATAATCTATAGATTGAAGCTTTATATTGTTGTTCTCTTTTATCTTTCTTTAAAAGAGAGAGGGAGAGAGAGAGATTTATGAAATTATTAAACTTTCTGATGTGTAGAATATGCAGTTGGTAACTACATGTACGTTACATAACGTATAGTTTCCCCACCTCCATCCGGGGTCTATTGGTCCACCATAGCTCTTGGAGTTTTTGCTTTTTTTCAAATTTGCAGAGATTTGGACATGGAAGAACTATATTGATAAATCACATTGTAATCACCCCACTCGACACAAACTAGGTCATTTCGGGACTAAGATATGGTTGAATTTTATTTCAATAATTCGCTTGGGCCTAGGGGTCTTTAGCAGTGGGAGGAAACTGGAGATTGTACAGGCTATCCTACTCCTTGTCACGTACAACCGGGGAATGGAAATCACACCCCAACACCCATTTCTTTAAGAAAAGAAAAAAAATTGTGGTATACCAAAAAGATATATTTAATGAAAATCTTTATTGGGAAACAAATGGAATCGATTCTAACTATAAAAATAATATCATGCTCTCTGGATTATTAGTATTTATATCATTGCTTGCATTCATGGGGGATCACGGTGGCTAAGTGGGTAAGGCGCTGGCTCGCTAGCCTGGAGGTCGGGTGTTCGATCCCTGCATTGGCCGAGAAAGTTCATCCCGATTTTCTGGCGTGGTTCCCCCTTGTCAGTGATGCAGAACGGAGGGCCTGACAAGGACAGCTGTCTAGTCATTCGGATCAGACAAAAACCGAGGTCCCGTGTAAACATTGGCGTGCACGTAAAAGATCCCTTGACAGTTGGAATTCGATTTAAGAGTAGGTCGTAGTGCCGCTGTCCGGGCCAAATTTCCCTCATAGCACACTGTATGGCGTATGCCCGTCTTCATTAGCCCAGTTCGGAGCAAAACAGTAGGACGTTAAATCCCATTTCATTTCATTTCATTTGCTTGCATTCATATTTATAACGGTGATTATAATCATAATCAATATATATTTGTTTTATTTATTTAATTGGTCATAATTTAAGTTTTGTAATGAAAAACCCGGAAAAAGATCCCTGGCTGTCAATAGACTTATATTAAAAATACATTAACTATAATAATTAAATTATAGTAATGGTCGTTCAAATACGATTACAGATAACCACCTACTTACTTATAATGGCTTCATGTTCAATGTTTTATGTGAAAATGTTAATAGATGTAACACGTTGCTCTTCATTTAGTTAGTGATGGCAATTTACATACGAAAGTTACGCTTTCTCTCTACAATTAGCTCCGCTTGAGAACAGACACGAAGCTAATTAACCGACATTTTAGTTCCTAAATCGACGATTTTAGTCGAAAACACTAATATGCTTCGAGAATGTCGGGATTTAATAAAACTGAAAATGTTTATTTAGTCTTTGTGTGTACGAAAGATCTAAAACGGATTAGAACCCCATAACAAAATAATATACAACATATACACCAAGTCGATGTTTAAAATATAAGTAAGTGAAACAAGCCAACATTGAGGCTGATGTCTCCCGCCAAATTGAAAACGTAATTAGATGAAACACACTTTTTAATTGCATATATTTATCTCTTTATAAAGCTTTGACCATTTCACTACTCTCACTCAATTGGAATCAAAGTTATGTCCAAGATCATCGACGCAGAAAATGTTCATTTTTCAACTTAATCAAGGTACCGATGTAATGAAACTATAGGAAATGCGCATTATCGAACTTAGTCAGGGTATTGATGTAATGATATACGACAAGTTTCAATTCCCACTTAATAAGAAGCAAAGTTATCGTGTCCCAAAGCATCGACCAATCAAATTGCGAATCTCTGCTTAGCCTAAGCAGAAAATGCTCATCATCGAACCAAACAACCAAGTCAATGCATTCACTTAATAAAATCCTACACCACGTAGAGTTCTTGTTTCCCAAAGCGTGACGGACAGACAGACGCACAGACCCATTTTAATAGTCCCCTGCTTTCTTCGGTAGGTGGGGGACAAACATATATAAAATACATACTACTGAGTTGCAGGAAGAAGAAAATCAGTTACTTACATGTAGCAGTTTTTAACAAGACATTCTCAAATTATCCATAACGGTTAACGAGTGTTGTAATCTCACACAATATAAGTCCACTGGGGTCAAATCGCCCTCTAGAAGTTTATCACACGATAATAAAATCATTTGACTAACAAATTATTATTTAACCCCAAATGAACAAACCATGCTAAAAAAAACTGTTCTGGAGAACGGGCTTACAATTGATCAACACCTGTTTAGTGCAGCCCGGGATGACACAAACAAACTTGTTAATAGATCAAAAGCTGATTATTACAACAAACTTATTGAGATAATGTGGATAATCCTAAAACACTTTTTGGCACTTTAATGCTTTACTTGGCAAGACGCGGGATGTGCCCTATACCAAAGAAGATGATTTGAACAACGCAAACAACTTCAATACGTTTTTCATCGACAAGGTCAGCAAGATCCGTTCAGGATTTAATCAAGTATTTGATAGCATTGTTGTTGATGATTGTATAGGTGAAAACTTTGAATCTTTTGAACCAGTCAGTGGACATGATCTCAAATGTATTATTAAAAAGTCTAAACCCACGTCATGTTGTTTAGGTCCCATTTCAACCAATCTCCTGCTTCATGTGTTGGATGTTATTCTTCCTGTAGTAACTAAAATTGTTAATACTAGCCTGAAGAATGGTACTGTACCTCAGGCTTTTAAACATGCTATCATTAAACATCTATTAAAGGTACATTATGGGAGATAAGCTAAAGAGATGGCAGTTCTCGCTATAATAGTTAAAAACTAGATAGTGAAAAGGTAATTTGCTGAAAATTTCAGTCAAATTGATCCACTATGAGCCGAGAACGAAGCGGGTGAAATTTTTGCATAGTCTCGGCCATCATTACTAATATGATTAATATAAACAGCATAGTCTAGATTATCCACTTTTTTGATTTAATTATCAATGGCGTTAGCGGCATATAGGAATCTAATCCAGCCAACATCGAAGGCTAGCCATGACATAGAGAGTTTATTATGGTCTGGATAAGTTAATTAATGTCTAATTGATAATTAAGATAACATTTCAGGCCTAAAGAAAGACTTGTAATAAGCAGATTTTGCCCTTGCATAATGCATGTTTAAAGAAATCAACGCTGGTTATGGAAGTTCTAAAAAAACCTACCGACCAGTTTCAAATTCACCCTTTTTCTCTAAGATCCTTGAAAAGGTGGTCAAATTGCAACTTGTGAATTTCGTGGAACGAGGCAATCTATGGGATAAATTCCAGTCTGCATACCAAGTAGCACACAGGACAGAAACTGCTCTCAACTATGTATTGGAAGCAGCTAAGCGATCTGTTGACATTTGTGACGTGGTGCTACTTGATTTATCTACCGCTTTTGACACGGTGGACCACAGGAAGCTTCTGGTGATAAGAGAATCAGTTCAGTTGCCCTAAATTGGCTCGCCTCATATTTGTCTGGAAGGTCACGAGCTGTAGTAATCGGGAAAGCCGTCTCAAACTCAATGACTCTAACATGTGGTGTGCCAAAAGGGCCCTCCCTTGGGCCAATACTGTTTTGTCTCTACACTGAACTCATGCTGGAGCTATTGAATCAACATCTGGTTTCCTATCACTGCTATGCTGAAGACACCCAGCTCATCGACCGCTTCTCCCCATCCCATACAAGTCAACTTTCTACCTGTCATAAAATGAAAGAGTGTATCAGAGACATTCAACAATAGATAGATCAAAATATGATGAAATTAAACACCGAAAAGGCGGAGGCTATCCTTTAGGCACCTCCTGCTCGACTCCAGAAATGTGAAATCACTCCCCTTAATGTCAACCATAGGATCGATAAGACACCCCATAACTAGGGATGCAACCACCACCCGTGTACACTGTATGATGATGTCAAGGCTCGATTATGGAAATAGTTTGTTAGCAGGAATTTCGAAATAACAGCTTTATCGGCTTCACCAAATTCAGAAGCGCTGTGCCAGAATCGTCACTAGGACTAAGCTGCGTTCTCACATATCTCCAGCTCTAAACTCTCTACACTGACTTAGAATTTAGGAACGGATCGAGTTTAAAGTGCCCTCCTTAACATTTCAAACGGTGTCAAAAATGGCTCCACTCTCTATCTACAGGATATTGTTCATCCATATGTTCCATCCATGTCCCTGCGTTTCAAATTAAAAACATTTGCTGCCAGATCTTTTTCATATATCTCTGCAACGCTTTGGAATTCCTTACCCCAAAAACTAAATTCTGCTGAAACACGAACTTCATTTAAATCAAACCTAAAGACTCATCTTTTCAAACATTATCATGTGCGTTTTGTGTTGTAGTGTGCTTGGTGTGTGTTCAGCGCTATGAGCATTTCCCTATTGTGATGTGGATTTTAGCGCATTATAAGATCCCTTATTATTATTATTATTATTACAGTTCCATGCATGTTTTGTTCAGATATATTAATTTCGACAAGTTTAATCGTCAATATTAATTAATCAAGTTTGAAAATATTAATTGGAGAATGTCATCAAAAAACTTTTCTCAAAAACTGATTTTTGATGCAAGGATAATAACAACATAACTAAATTCGTCAATGCTCAAATTTATGAAAGAGTTCGTCTTTACGATGATAGTTTTAATACTCTGTGTAGACCAAGAAGACACTATTTTCCGGGACACGGAATATGTGCCTAGCCTCCGAGATCAAATATTCCCAATCCTATGCACTGAATATCATCGGTAGACAGATGAAGTGACGTATCGATAATTTGATGATTTTGATGATGCAGAATTCAAATTTGGCATGTAAATGGACGAAAAATTTCTACTTTTATGAGAAATTGCCTATCACCTCTGCGTAATATCTCCATTTAACCGATTTGCGGAGAAACATTAACAAACGATCATTCCATAGTTTTCTGTAGAATTTAAATCAATTCAGTAAATACTATAGTTCCCTGCAGCATAAAGTAGGAAACATTCTATCGTATATTTATAATATGAAGATCTTTTTTTAATTCATATTATAGTTTACTTCTGCAGGACCACAGTAAATTTCGACAGCTATGTTTTTCATCTCTATTGGTACATACAACAGCACAGCGCCAAATCATAATAAATAAATAAACAAATACATATCAAATGAATTGCAGGCTAAAAAGCTTGAGAATCTGCAATCTACTATCTGTCATATTCCCGCCAAGTGCTCGAACCGGGTATGCTGTCAAGTAGTACATGCGCCCGGCCTAGTTAATGTAATACGTCATTGGCAATTAGATAGGCCTACATGACTTCATAAAGCTGATTGGTTGCCAATATTGTACTATTATTTGATGTTATGATTGATATATGGTGGCCCATCGTCATCATTGAGGAATTTAACAGAATTTCTTTAAAACCTAAATGAAACGCAAAGTCAAAATAATAATAAAAAAGCAAAAGCAAAAGTAAAAATTCAATCAAAAGTAAAAGTTAAATCAAAAGTAAAAGTAAAAGTAAAATCAAAAGTAAAAGTAAAAATTAAATGTAAAAGTAAAATCAAGTAAAAATAAAATCAAAAGTAAAAGTTCAATTAAAAGTAAAAGTTCAGTCAGAAGTAAAAGTGAAATCAAAAGTAATAGTTAAATGAAAATAAAAAAATAAGATCAAAAGTAAAAGTCAGAAGTAAAAGTGAAATCAAAAGTAATAGTTAAATGAAAATAAAAAAATAAGATCAAAAGTAAAAGTTCAATTAAAAGTAAAAGTTCAATTAAAAGTAAAAGTTCAGTCAGAAGTAAAAGTAAAATCAAAAGTAATAGTTAAATGAAAATAAAAAATAAAATTAAAAGTAATAGTTATATGAAAAGAAAAAAGAAAATTAAAAGTTGAACAGAAATGAAATGAAATGTCGTACTGTTCCGCTCCGACTGGCTATGAGGGAATTTGGCTCGGGCAGTGGCACTATGGCCTATTCTTATATTGAATTTCAACTGCCAAGGGATATTTTACGTGCACGCCAATGTATAAACGGAATCTCCTTTTTCCGTTCCATCCAAACTAAATCAGCTGTCCTTGCAGGGATTGAACACGCAACCTTCAGTCTAGCGAGCCAGCGTCTTACCCACTTGGCCACCGTGGCTCCAGGTAAAAGTTGAACCAAAAGGAAAAGTTTAATCAAAAGTAAAAGTTTAATCAAAAGTAAAAGCAAAAGTAAAAGTTTAATCAAAAGTAAAAGTTAAATCAAAAGTAAAAGTAAAATTAAAATTAAAAGTTAAATCAAAAGTAAAAATTAAGTCAAAAGTAAAACTTAAAAACCAAAATGTAAATTAAAATCAAAACGAAAATGAAACTAAAAGAATTTTTAAAGGTAATTTGAAATGTAAAACAAAAGTAAAAGTGAAACGCAAAATAAAAACATTTGTCGGCTTATATCATTCAACAACTAAGTGATAACGATAGGCCACTATACGGACACAGCTCACCAAATATTTCTACAGTCTTTCTCTCCCTTTCCCTTTTTCCCCCTTTTGCATGTCGATTTTTGTTGACTTTTTGGTGTAGAATCGAAGAAAAGGGTTTGAAAATACATTTCTACCAGGTTTTGGTGAATATTCATTATTTTGAGGCGGAAGGATACAAGAGTTGAGAGGTTGGTTAGGTTGAAATGTAGGGTCCAAAATTGCATGTTTTTTTGTCTCTACTTCCAGCTTGTGTATCTTAAGTTTTTCCATGGTGAACCTCATACGTGCTTTTGGGCAAGAGGTTGCCACATGTTGCTCCATCTGTGGTAGAAAGCGTTCTACCCAACGAAAATTTGGGGAAAAGTTAGAGCCGGTCTAAGAGACGAGAATTAACATTAAAGTCAATGGGCAAATGTTTAGTGATCTATGGCCATACTGGTATGCTGTCAAGTAGGACATGCGCGCGTTCATGATAATTATAATACGTCATTGGCAACTATAGTTAGTTGATTCATCGGATATTGTACTAGTATTTGAGTTTTTAATTCCAATCATTATGGGTGGTAACAGAAGATACGGACATTTTCAGTGTTCATCTTGCAGACAGAAGTGGGAGAGTTCACATGTTTACGTGAAGAAAGGAACGGAAAAGGTAAAGATCAACAATTCAACAATATGTGAAGTTGTTGATAACTCCTTATCAGATCATATTTGATGAATATGAAGCACTGGGGCATACTGTGATCCGCGGAGGGCGTTTAACCATCTAGGCACGAGGAAATAATTGTTGAATTTCGGCATACCTTGGAGCGCACCTGGCCTATATCCGAGTCTCAACCAAGAATAAGCAACTTTCACTTTCACTTTCTATTAAACATATATTTTGTATCGAATCGTTCTAAATCTTGCTTTAGATACCTTCCCATATACAAACTTGGTGATTTGATGATATATGTAGACAAGACACCTATTCGAACTAATAAATCTATCAAAAATTTGCTTCAAATCCCTCTCAAAACATTGTGTTGACCAGGAAATACCGGACGCTATAAAAATATATAAAAAGAATTCATGTTTGTGTCATGTGGCTTGGTAGTCAACGGGTGCCGAGCTGGAGGAGAATCCATTGCATATAAAAGACGATATTGTCTTAATCGCTGTTCATTTACCATAAATATCGAAGTAAATTCTGGGATTATCCCCGCCCACATCTTTTTCCGTGGTTTTTTTTTATCTCAGAAACAGTTGTACGCTAAAGTCTGTCACATTTTTCACGTCCGCTCAAGTTTATTAACATATACATCAAGCTCCCCCTAACACAAGAGGCCAGACAATCTACGCGTGCAACATTTGACGCATATTCCTGAAGCCATGGCCCAAGAAATTCCTCTCTGGTCATTGCTTGATTGGCTTCTGATACTTGAGCTTTTGAGGTAGTGTGTCTATTCTTCCCGTTCAATCAAATCAAGTACATCACAGGGTTCAATTTAGTCTAAAACCAATGAGTAGCACATTTTTGTGGCAGATTCACATTTTGGCTAATCAATTCAAAATTTGAATAGCATTTGCTCAGATTTGAGGAGCAATAAACCGTACATCACAAAAAATTGTAATTCTGATAAATAAACAATATTATAATCTTTAGTCTTGTTTTATTGTTCATTATTTACATGTACATGTAACACTTAACAACAAATAAACAATTAACATGTATTTGGCCTTCTCGGTTGCGAAAAGAACATTTGTACACATTCAGTGGCATTAAATTCTGCAGCTACTGGCCCCTCTAACTTAATTCGCATTAAATTCTCAAGAGTAGCTTCAGATAATTTATTGCGCCAATCTGTTTTGATGCGACCCATCGCTGAAAATGCACGTTCAAGTTTGGCATTTGACACTGGGTAAGTCAAAAGAATTAAAATTACGTGGCAAATGTTTGGAAAAATATCTCTCCTGTGTGCTAAAATATTTTTTAAGACCTCGGTTATGGAGTCCGTTTGAGGCGACTGAGCACTACACATATTTTGCAACCAAAAGGTTTTCAAGTTTCTCCACTCATTTTGAAGCAGATGAGTTTCTACACCTCGTTTATCCAAAATATTTTTTAAGTGTTTTCTGAAAAAATCCAAAGATTCAACTCCAAAATTCCCTAGAGACGTTTCATCTCTAGGCCAGTTTGGGATATTAATGAGTTTCAAAATTGTAAATGTTTCACTTTTATTTAAATCACCAAACCTGCTTTTAACACATTCTTCCAATTTTCTCTCAAGGTTTGTAGATTTATTTTCAAACACTATTTTGTCATACTTAATATTTATCCCCTTGAATGATATGTCCGTTGGGTCATTTGTAGCAGATTCTAATAGTTCCTTTAAATCACCATTAAATTTATTTGTACTAAAGTCTTCTAAAACCGTATAAAATGTATCTAGGCAGGATATTGCAAAATGTAAATCTATACTTGAACCTTGCAACATAAGAGATAGTTTTGATATAGGTTCTAATAGCTCACTAAAATATAGCAAGTACACAACAAATTTAAATGATTTTAGTTTACTTAAATAACCCTTCATTTTGCATTGGTCTTCTTTTTTTGTTGAGGGATCCTCAGCAATGTTTTCAAGGTGTGTAACTATCACAGGGTAGGATTTGATCAGTGAGTTACAAGCACTTCGTTTATGCTGTAACCACCTAGTTCCTAAAGCCTTTTCCGGTTTACTGACTGTTTGTTCCATTATTTCTACTAATTCACGCAATTCCCTCAGGCGTTTTGGGGAATGGTTATAGAGGGATTTTAAACTGTTTAAAATGGCCATCATATCACCACATTTTTGAGCACCCGCTAAATGTGTCCTTTGCAGCTAATTCCAATCTGTGGTTTAAACAATGAATTACGATCAACCAATCCATTTCCTTTTTTAATAACTCTCCCAACCCGTGTTTGTTTCCCATATTAACACTGGCGCCATCAGCCATAAACCCAACCCATTTACTTTCGAAGTCTATTAACCCGCTTTCTTGAAACGCTTCATATAACATTGATTTTAGGCCTTCTGAAGTTACGATATGCGCATTTTTTAGTCTTAAAAAGTTTATTTCAACCTCACCAGTTGGTGAAACTGTTAATAAATAAATTACTTCTTTTTCAACACTACTTACGTCGGTACACCCATCGATTAACACAGTAAAATACTCTTAGTTATTTATTACCGACAATATTTTGTTTTGAATCCAGTCACCTATTAAGTTTGTAAACTCTTGACATTTTACATCTGTAGCATATCTGTCACCCAGGTAAACGCCGTGGTTTTTCTCAAGCACAACAAACTTTGGAAATTTAGAAAATGAAATCTCCTCCCTCGCAAGTGTATATGCTATGTCAAACAATTTTGTCACTCGACCTCTTGCTTCCTCTTCGGCGCCAGAAAATGACTGGAAAATTGAAGCCTTTCTTATAATGTCTATAGCAGGAATCCCAATTTTATTTTCGTATTGGACAGCTTTAATATGTGGATCCGATATAATGTGTTTGCGTAAATTGTCTGCCTTGAGTGCCGATCCTGTGGTTCCGACAATGAATGCCCTACTAAAAATTCTCGAGCAGTTTATTTTATTTTCATGCTTAGAACAAAGTTTGCAGGAAACTTTATTTACAATGCCAGCTGTTTCAAGTTCATATTTTAACCATTTTTTACCTTTATCATATTTTTGTATCCAGGAATGCACCGTGGCTAATTTTATTTCATTTGTTTGCCTTTTCGAGCTAGCAGACGACGCCATTTTATCTTAGCACGCGCTCACGGTTGTCTTAAATAACCAGACGGACAAAACTTTGGTAACTGCGCTTGGTTGCATACTGGATAATGCAGGACTATTTTCTCCCATAGCAACCATAGCAACAGGCAGTGATTTACCTTGGATTTACCAGACAGTTTTTCTATATTGAACGCATTGTACATGTCCGCGTCTGGAAAAACAAGACAAGATGGGTTTTTTTTTATCGGCGCTATTGTTTTCTCCAATTTACCGATTTATTAATTAAATTAGTCGTGATACTTTTATCCAAATGAAGTATTTTCATCCAAAATATAATGAATCGCACTTCACAAGTTTGAAATCAATTTTTGGCTAATCAATAAAATAATTATATCGCTTCTACCGAGATTTGAATCGCTTTTTGCGATGCGATACCGCTTAAATTGAACCCTGGTACATCAACATGACAGCTCTTCGTTTAAGCTGGGGTCTTCCCTAAACCTTTGGACAGTGATTTAAGGTATTAAAAACGGTGAAAGTATTGTTCGTCTCCATACAGTATTGTTTACATTGTATCCGTGTTGTCACGGATTTTTTTTTTTAAAACAATACATGTAATTAGAAAATGTTTTTCTCTATGAAAAAACAAATGGGGAAAATTTCATTTCTCTTCAAGATTATTTCAGACTTATTTGCAATATCTTTCCTTTTATATATATATTTGTTTATTTAAGGTGGAGTATGGACAAGAGTGTAAAAGGTGTAAAATCGTTTGTTTTCCATACCAGGTGGAACCAATCCGATGTTCTCTCTGTGGCCAAACTGACTGTGACTGTCAAAAAGACAGACATATTGATCCAACTAAAGCCCACAGAGCTGATCTGTGTATGAGATGTAGAGCAGGGAAACACTGTGATACACGCAATTGGTAGACGAATACATAAAACATGACCAAAAGTATTCAAAATGTTATTTACATCACCAACTAAATTGTAACTGAAATCAGTGATTTATTTATATTTTAAATATTCAACTTTACTTTTTGTCTTTAATTTTGTTAATGTGATATAGATATCAAAATATGAATTATATACATTTTTGATACTCATTTTGTAATATGTGATAATCTGAAACAACTGTCAAAATGTGAATTATAATCTATAGATTGAAGCTTTATATTGTTGTTCTCTTTTATCTTTCTTTAAAAGAGAGAGAGAGATTTATGAAATTATTAAATTTTCTGATGTGTAGAATATGCAGTTGGTAACTACATGTACGTTACATAACGTATAGTTTCCCCACCTCCATCCGGGGTCTATTGGTCCACCATAGCTCTTGGAGTTTTTGCTTTTTTTCAAATTTGCAGAGATTTGGACATGGAAGAACTATATTGATAAATCACGTTGTAATCACCCCACTCGACACAAACTAGGTCATTTCGGGACTAAGATATGGTTGAATTTTATTTCAATAATTCGCTTGGGCCTAGGGGTCTTTAGCAGTGGGAGGAAACTGGAGATTGTACAGGCTATCCTACTCCTTGTCACGTACAACCGGGGAATGGAAATCACACCCCAACACCCATTTCTTTAAGAAAAGAAAAAAAATTGTGGTATACCAAAAAGATATATTTAATGAAAATCTTTATTGGGAAACAAATGGAATCGATTCTAATTATAAAAATAATATCATGCTCTCTGGATTATTAGTATTTATATCATTTGCTTGCATTCATGGGGGATCACGGTGGCTAAGTGGGTAAGGCGCTGGCTCGCTAGCCTGGAGGTCGGGTGTTCGATCCCTGCATTGGCCGAGAAAGTTCATCCCGATTTTCTGGCGTGGTTCCCCCTTGTCAGTGATGCAGAACGGAGGGCCTGACAAGGCCAGCTGTCTAGTCATTCGGATGAGACAAAAAACCGAGGTCCCGTGTACACATTGGCGTGCACGTAAAAGATCCCTTGACAGTTGGAATTCGATTTAAGAGTAGGTCGTAGTGCCGCTGTCCGGGCCAAATTTCCCTCATAGCACACTGTATGGCGTATGCCCGTCTTCATTAGCCCAGTTCGGAGCAAAACAGTAGGACGTTAAATCCCATTTCATTTCATTTCATTTGCTTGCATTCATATTTATAACGGTGATTATAATCATAATCAATATACATTTGTTTTATTTAATTGGTCATAATTTAAGTTTTGTAATGAAAAACCCGGAAAAAGATCCCTGGCTGTCAATAGACTTATATTAAAAATACATTAACTATAATAATTAAATTATAGTAATGGTCGTTCAAATACGATTACAGATAACCACCTACTTACTTATAATGGCTTCATGTTCAATATTTTATGTGAAAATGTTAATAGATGTAACACGTTGCTCTTCATTTAGTTAGTGATGGCAAGTTACATACGAAAGTTACGCTTTCTCTCTACAATTAGCTTCGCTTGAGAACAGACACGAAGCTAATTAACCGACATTTTAGTTCCTAAATCGACGATTTTAGTCGAAAACACTAATATGCTTCGAGAATGTCAGAATTTAATAAAACTGAAAATGTTTATTTAGTCTTTGTGTGTACGAAAGATCTAAAACGGATTAGAACCCCATAACAAAATAATATACAACATATACACCAAGTCGATGTTTAAAATATAAGTAAGTGAAACAAGCCAACATTGAGGCTGATGTCTCCCGCCAAATTGAAAACGTAATTAGATGAAACACACTTTTTAATTGCATATATTTATCTCTTTATAAAGCTTTGACCATTTCACTACCCTCACTCAATTGGAATCAAAGTTATGTCCAAAAACATCGATGCATAAAAATGTTCATTTTTGAACTTAATCAAGGTACCGATGTAATGAAACTATAGGAAATGCGCATTATCGAACTTAGTCAGGGTATTGATGTAATGATATACGCCAAGTTTCAATTCCCACTTAATAAGAAGCAAAGTTATCGTGTCCCAAAGCATCGACCAATCAAATTGCGAATCTCTGCTTAGCCTAAGCAGAAAATGCTCATCATCGAACCAAACAACCAAGTCAATGCATTCACTTAATAAAATCCTACACCACGTAGAGTTCTTGTTTCCCAAAGCGTGACGGACAGACAGACGCACAGACCCATTTCAATACTCCCCTGCTTTCTTCGGTAGGTGGGGGACAAACATATATAAAATACACACTACTGAGTTGCAGGAAGAAGAAAAGCAGTTACTTACATGTAGCATTTTTTATCAAGACATTCTCAAATTATCCATAACGGTTAACGAGTGTTGTAATCTAACACAATATAAGTCCTCTGGGGTCAAATCGCCCACTAGAAGTTTATCACACGATTATATAATCATTTGACTATAAATTAATTATTTAACCCCAAATGAACAAACCATGCTAAAAAAAAGTTCTGGAGAACGGGTTTACAATTGATCAACATATGTTTAGTGCAGTGCGGAATGACACAAACAAACTTGTTAATTATAGATCAAAAGCTGATTATTACAACAAACTTATTGAAGATAATGTGGATAACCCTAAAGCACTTTTTGGCACTTCAATGCTTTACTTGGCAAGACGCGGGATGTGCCCTATCCCAAAGAAGATGATTTGAACAACGCAAACAACTTCAATACGTTTTTCATCGACAAGATCAGCAAGATGCGTTCAGGATTTAATCTAGTATTTGATAGCATTGTTGCTGATGATTACATAGGTGAAAACTTTGAATCTTTTGAACCATGGAAGAATGGTACTGTACCTCAGGCTTTTAAACATGCTATCATTAAACCTCTATTAAAGAAATCAACGCTGGTTACGGAAGTTCTAAAAAACAACTACCGGCCAGTTTCAAATTCACCCTTTTTCTCTAAGATCCTTGAAAAGGTGGTCAAATTGCAACTTGTGAAATTCGTGGAAGGAGGCAATCTATGGGATAAATTCCAGTCTGCATACCGAGTAGCACACAGCACAGAAACTGCTCTCAACTGTGTATTGGAAGCAGCTAAGCGATCTGTTGACATTTGTGACGTGTCTATATTGGTGCTACTTGATTTATCTACAGCTTTTGACACGATTGACCACAGGAAGTTTCTGGTAATAAGTGAATCAGTCCAGTTGCCCTAAATTGGTTCGCCTCATATTTGTCTGGAAGGTCACGAGCTGTAGTAATTGGGAAAGCCGTCTCAAACGTAATGACTCTGACATGTGGTGTGCCAAAAGGACCCTTCCTTGGGGCAATACTGTTTTGTCTCTACACTGAACCCATGCTGGAGCTATTGAATCGACATCTGGTTTCCTATCACTGCTATGCTGATGACACCCAGCTCATCGACCGCTTCTCCCCATCACATACAAGTCAACTTTCTACGTGTCATAAAATGAAAGAGTGTATCAGAGACATTCAGCAATATATGGATCAAAATATGCTGAAATTAAACACCGAAAAGGCGGAGGCTATCCTTTGTGCACCTCCTGCTCGACTCCAGAAATGTGAAATCACTCCCCTTAATGTCAACGATACAATTACCCCTTTCTTTTCATCTTTAAAAAACCTTGGTATTCATCTGGACTCGTCTCTTACAATGGAACCCCACATCAGCTATGTATGCAAGGTTTCACACTATCACCTACGAACCATAGGATCGATAAGGCACCCCATAACTAGGGATGCAACCACCACCCGTGTACGCTGTATGATGTCAAGGCTCGATTATGGAAATAGTTTGTTAGCAGGAATTTCGAAATAACAGCTGTTAACAAATTCAGAAGCGCTGTGCCAGAATCGTCACTAGGACTAAGCTGCGTTCTCACATATCTCCAGCTCTAAACTCTCTACACTGACTTAGAATTTAGGAACGGATCGAGTTTAAAGTGCCCTCCTCAACATTTCAAACGGTGTCAAAAATGGCTCCACTCTCTATCTACAGGATATTGTTCATCCGTATGTTCCATCCATGTCCCTGCGTTTCAAATTAAAAACATTTGCTGCCAGATCTTTTTCATATATCTCTGCAACACTTTGGAATTCCTTACCCCTAAAACTAAAGTCTGCTGAAACACGAACTTCATTTAAATCAAACCTAAAGACTCATCTTTTCAAACATTATCATGTGCGTTTTGTGTTGTAGTGTGCTTGGTGTGTGTTCAGCGCTATGAGCATTTCCCTATTGTGATGTGGATTTTAGCGCATTATAAGATCCATTATTATTATTATTATTATTACAGTTCCATGCATGTTTTGTTCAGAAATATATTAATTTCGACAAGTTTAATCGTCAATAATAATTAATCATGTTTGAAAATATTTATTTGGAAAACGTCATCAAAAAACTTTTCTCAAAAACTGATTTTTGATGCAAGGATAATAACAAAATAACTAATTTCGGCAATGCTCAAATTTATGAAAGAGTTCGTCTTTACGATGATAGTTTTGATTCTCAACAACGATAACGTTCTGGGTTCGGGTCTCCGTGTAGACCAAGAAGACACTATTTTCCGGGACACGGAATATGTGCCTAGCCTCCGAGATCAAATATTCCCAATCTTATGCACTGAATATCATCGGTAGACAGACGAAGTGACGTATCGATAATTTGATGATTTTGATGATGCAGAATTCAAATTTGGCATGTAAATGGACGAAAAATTTCTACTTTTATGAGAAATTGCCTATCACCTCTGCGTAATATCTCCATTTAACCGATTTGCGAAGAAACATTATGTATAACAAACGATCATTCCATAGTTTTCTGTTTAATTTAAATCAATTCAGTAAATACTATAGTTCCCTGCAGAATAAAGTAGGAAACATTCTATCGTACATTTATAATATGGAGATCTTTTTTTATTCATATTATAGTTTACTTCTGCAGGACCACAGTAAATTTCGACAGCTATGTTTTTCATCTCTATTGGTACATACAACAGCACAGCGCCTAATCATAATAAATAAATAAACAAATCCATATCAAATGAATGGCAGGCTAAAAAGCTTGAGAATCTGCAATCTACTATATGTTACTCTTGTCATATTCCCGCCAAGTGCCCGAACCGGGTATGCTGTCAAGATAGGACATGCGCCCGGCCTAGTTAATGTAATACGTCATTGGCAATTAGATAGGCCTACATGACTTCGTAAAGCTGATTGGTTGGCAATATTGTACTAGTATGTAATAGTTATATACCTTGTTTTCATGGTGTATGGGTTGATACACCGTCTCTTTTTTGAGTGGGGCTCCGAGGCGAAAGGAATAGTTATACACCGTCTCTTTTTTGAGTGGGGCTCCGAGGCGAAGCCAAGGAGATCTCCACTCAAAAAGAGACGGTGTTTCAACCCATACACCGAGAAAACAAGGTATATAACTGACTTATACTAAATACTTTTTCGAGAAAAGGATTTTGTTCTATTTTTCCCTATTTCAAAAGCATTTTTCATTTCACAAATTTATCAAAGTTTCCCCATTCAGAGCTCCCCAATTATCTCATCGAAAACGCTTATTTCTACTCAGGTAAATGATGTCAGTACACCGCACGTGCATTTCACGGGTTAAATCAGGTCAGGGAAAATGTTCATAACAGGGATATTGATTGGTTGAGAAAAGCAAACGTCATCCAATCATTTTGTACATTAGCCATTTCTTGTTGTTTTGCCAACATCCTGGCTGCGTCGATTGTAGTGGATGGCAGAAATGAATGCGGGAATTCGTCGAAGAATCCTACTTTATAATGTCACAGATATATATATACTATTCAAAAAAAGTAGGGGATATTTGATTTTTAAGTGTTATTAAAGTCACCTAATGAAACTGACGAAGAAACAAATGACAAAATGATACCCGGGGTCAAACAGCAAAGTTACCACAGCATCACAACCAAGTCAGTAACGGGTAAATCCTCCTCTGTTTGCCAAACAAGCATTGATCCGACGTGGCATACTCCTAATGAGACGTCTAAGGTCATTTTGGTCCAGATTGTCCCATTCCTGTTGCAACGCAGCAGCAAGTTCTTGGACATTGGCAGGACGTTGTTGACGTTGACGTAACCTCTGTCCAAGCATGTCCCAGACATGCTCGATGGGGGAGAGGTCGGGACTCAGTGCTGGCCAAGGTAATGTGGTGATGTTCTGTTGTTGGAGGTAACCTGTAACGATCCTGGCCCTGTGACATCTTGCGTTGTCATCCTGGAAGATGAAACGGCGGCCATGACGTCGTGCGAACGGCACAACATGGACTGCCAAGATGTTGTCCCGGTAGTACTGGCCTGTAACACGCCCTGCAACAACATGTAAAGCCGTTCTTCCAGCAACAGTGATGCCTCCCCACACCATAACAGAACCACCCCCAAATCGATCATGTCTGATGACGTTAACGTCTTGGAAGCGCTCGTTTCGACGACGCCACACCCTCCTACGTCTGTCCAAAAAATCAACAGTGAACCTTGACTCATCTGAAAACATCACATTGCTCCAGCGTCGATTATCCCAGTGTTGACGATCCCTACACCAACGACGTCTTGCCTGAATGTGATGATCTCTCAAACAAGGGATCACGCGAGGACGTCGGGCGCGAAGGTGACCCCTATGCAGTCGATTCCGAATCGTCTGGCCACTCACTCTCACACCAGTGTCTGTTTGAAGACGAGCGCTGATCTGATTTGCTGTGATGACACGATTTCTCAAGGCCAAGGTACGGATAAATCGATCCTGGGCTTGAGTTGTCGCCCTTGGTCGACCTGAGCGGGGTCTGTCCTGTACATATTGTGTATCACGGTATCTGGACCATAGCCTGCTTATGACAGACTGAGAAACATTCATCGTCCGCGCCACAACCGCCTGTGTTGTGCCGATCTGTAGCATGCCAAGGACACGTAACCTTTCATTTTGGGTAAGTCGACGCATATCAAAATTTGTTTTCTGGTCACTAAAACAATTAAACTGATGTTTCCACCCTGGAATTCAATGCCACAATGACTGTAACATTCAAAGTCAGAGTCGTGCAAATCTTGGGTTGGACCCCCATGATGATCCCAAGCATCACCTGCATTCCATGCGGTAGCTATTGGTGCGTTTGGGCGTCACATGTAACTGGAAATGTTTCTTCTGTTAGGTTCTATAGTGACTTTTTTCGTAGTCATTTGCATATTTTAGTATTATGCCCCCAAAATCAAATATCCCCTACTTTTTTTGAATAGTATATTTCTAAGACCGAGAATATCAGTTCTGCACGAGATGTCAATGATCGCGAAGATTTAGAAGCCCGATCCTTCACAGTACAAGAAATTAAAGCCAAGCAGATGAGTCGAATTCCGCCAAACACGAGGAAAAATACCAATTGCATAGGAATATGGTGACACTTCGAGATCAGTACAAAAGATTTGATTTTAACTTTTTTGATAAGCAAGGTACATTTGCTAATTTCCGCACAGATCCATTCATTAACTTCGCGAGGTATTGACATCCACTGACAAATTAAAGCCATGCAGATGAGTCGAATTCCGCCAAACGCGAGGAAAAATACCAATTGCATAGGAATATGGTGACACTTCGAGATCAATACAAAGGATTGGATTTTAATTTTTTGGATAAGCAAGGTACATTTGCTAATTTCCGCACAGATCAATTCATTAACTTCGCGAGGTATTGACATCCACTGACAGACAAAAACAAGAACAGCCATTAAATGAAGACGAGTTGGAATTGTAGAGTTCTCAAGTTTGTAGTGTAGAAAATGCCAGTGGATTAATTTATACTAGTAATATATTTGGATTACGTGCTGCGGATGAGCATAAACCGCGACAAAATGTGAAAGTTTTTAGTGTTGAAAATGCCAAGAGATTAATTTATAATAGTAAAATATTTGGATTATGTGCTGCGGATGAGCATAAGCGGCGACAAAATGTTAAAGTGCGACAAAATGTGAAAGTGCGACTAGATATCAAAATGTAAAGAAATGTGAGACAAAATGTAAGAATATGACTGAGAGTGACGCACATTCGAAAAGTGCTGAGACAGTTGAAAATGATGACTCTTTTACCATAACATGTTCAAAACGGGTTGTAAATCATGATTTTGTTATTTTTGTCCCTTTTCAACTGATACACGGCCACCCGTGTATCGGTGTATACCCTCCCATTTTCATCAAAGAGTCGAGAAAAAGTATGGGTATAATTGATGTTATGATTGATATATGGTGGCCCAGCGTCATCATTGAGGAATTTAACAGAATTTCTTTAAAACCTAAATGAAACGCAAAGTCAAAATAATAATAAAAAAGCAAAAGCAAAAGTAAAAATTCAATCAAAAGTAAAAGTTAAATCAAAAGTAAAAACAAAAGTAAAAATCAAATCAAAAGTAAAAATTAAAAGTAAAAATAAAATCAAGTAAAAGTGAAATCAAAAGTAAAAATAAAATCAAAAGTAAAAGTTCAATTAAAAGTAAAAGTTCAGTCAGAAGTCAAAGTAAAATCAAAAGTAATAGTTAAATGAAAATAAAAAATAAAATTAAAAGTAATAGTTATATGAAAATAAAAAATAAAATCAAAATTAAAAGTTGAAATGAAATGAAACGTCGTACTGTTCCGCTCCGACTGGCTATGAGGGAATTTTGATCGGGCAGTGGCACTATGGCTTACTCTTATATTGAATTTCAACTGCCAATGGATATTTTACGTGCACGCCAACTAAATCAGCTGTCTTTGCAGGGATTGAACACGCAACCTTCAGTCTAGCGAGCCAGCGTCTTACCCACTTGGCCACCGTGGCTCCAAGTCAAAGTTGAGCCAAAAGGAAAAGTTTAATCAAAAGTAAAAGTTTAACCAAAAGTTAAAGCAAAAGTAAAAGTTTAATCAAAAATCAAAAGTAAAAGTAAAATTAAAAGTTAAATCAAAAGTAAAAATTAAGTCAAAAGTAAAACGTAAAAACCAAAATGTAAATTAAAATCAAAACGAAAATGAAACTAAAAGAATTTTTAAAGGTAATTTGAAATGTAAAACAAAAGTAAAAGTGAAACGCAAAGTAAAAACATTTGTCGGTTTATATGATTCAACAACTAAATGATAAGGATAGGCCAATTTCCTGGTATGCTGTCAAGTAGGACATGCGCGCGTTCATGATAATTATAATACCTCATAATTGGCAACTATAGTTAGTCCTACACGAGACTTAGTAAAGCTGATTCATCGGATATTGTACTAGTAATTGATTTTTTAATTCCACTCATTATGAGCGATAACAGAAGATACGGATATTTACGGTGTTCATCTTGCAAAGAGAAGTGGGAGAGTTCACATGTTTACGTGAAGGAAGGAACGAAAAAGGTAAAGATCAACAATTCAACAATACGTGAAGTTGTTGATAACTCCTTATCAGATCATATTTGATGAATATGAAGCACTGGGGCATATTGTGGTCCGCGGAGGGCGTTTAACCATCTAGGCGCGAGGAAATAATTGTTGAATTTCGGCATACCTTGGAGCGCACCTGGCCTATGTCCGAGTCTCAACCAAGAATAAGCAACTTTCACTTTCACTTTCTATTAAACATATATTTTGTATCGAATCGTTCTAAATCTTGCTTTAGATACCTTCCCATATACAAACTTGGTGATTTGATGATATATGTAGACAAGAAACTTATTCGAACTAATAAATCTATCAAAAATTTGCTTCAAATCCCTCTCAAAACATTGTGTTGACCAGGAAATACCGGACGCTATAAAAATATATAAAAAGAATTCATGTTTGTGTCATGTGGCTTGGTAGTCAACGGGTGCCGAGCTGGAGGAGAATCCATTGCATATAAAAGACGATATTGTCTTAATCGCTGTTCATTTACCATAAATGTCGAAGTAAATTCTGGGATTATCCCCGCCCACATCTTTTTCCGTGTTTTTTTTTATCTCAGAAACAGTTGTACGCTAAAGTCTGTCACATTTTTCACGTCCGCTCAAGTTTATTAACATATACATCATGCTCCCCCTAACACAAGAGGCCAGACAATCTACGCGTGCAACATTTGACGCATATTCCTGAAGCCATGGCCCAAGAAATTCCTGTCTGGTCATTGCTGGATTGGCTTCTGATACTTGAACTTTTGAGGTAGTGTGTTTATTCTTCCCGTTCAATCAAATCAAGTACATCAACATGACAGCTCTTCGTTTAATCTGGGGGTCTTCCCTAAAACTTTGGACAGTGATTTAAGGTATTAAAAACGGTGAAAGTATTGTTCGACTCCATACAGTATTGTTTACATTGTATCCGTATTGATAGCCTCGTTTGTCACGCAATTAGTTTTTCTGCAATATTCTGCTATGCACTGGTTAATTCGGCATAATAAAATCGTGAGTCATGACGTAACGTTAGGTAAACATATTTGGTCCAATTTGGAGCTCTATTTAAAGCGTAATGATATTGTTACGCAGTAAGTTATTGGTTGTTAATCGGACTATTGACCAGTCATAATTTGGAACATAAATTTGCTTCCTTTACAGCAGTGTTAAGTGGGATTAGCTCTAATCAAACAAAACACTGCGAGGAGTATGCATTTGGCGTCACTCGAGCAGACAGCACTAATTCCTCAGGCTGTCAATCACTGCCAACCTCTCATTCTTGTCCTGTAAGCGCTCCAGTATTTGTCTAGTAAGATTTGGCGTCTCTACTTTCCATATGTACCAAAATTGCCATACTTTTATTGGAAATAACCACCCGGTAAATACGTTTGTGGGACAATATCGTTAAGCGTGTTTCCAAGTTGGAGTCAGTTGTTATCTATCTTGTCACGTGTCACAAAAAATATGTCTCCAAAATACCATAATTCAGCATAAGCCCGTGTACACTTGGTCGCGATAAGCGTGCCGTTCTCGGCACAGTACCAGGCCGCGATAATTTTCAAGAAATTGACGTATTTACATTACTCTAAAATAAACGGCTTCGGAACCGTGCCAGGCACGCCAAATGTGGAACTCTTCACAGAAAAGTTACTTCCAGTCACTATGCAAATTACCCGGACAAAAACAATTATGGCGGTTGATTTAGTCTAAGCAGCCATTTTGACAGAACTGGTGACAGAATTATCAAAGTTCGCGGGAAAAGGGTCAAGGTTCACATGGCGCATGCACAGTAATCCGTACTGAAACCGTGCTCAGACCGAATAGCGTTTACACTATGAAAATTTAACCGTGCCTTGTCTGGCATCGTGCCGAGATCACCTCACTTCAGTGGGCCAAATTGGCACGTACTCAGTACGGCACGCTTATGTTTTTGACCAGTTTACACTACAAAAAAAAATTAACGGGGTATACTGGCGCACTTAAAATTTGTAATGTAAAGGGGGCTATAGAAACACTATACTTTTACTTCTTATTCCGATTCTAATTGGTTTTCATTGTTTTGCGACGTCTATCTCAATATGTTACTTTCATCATGGGTATTGCACCAAGTTTTTTTTTATTATTTAAAATAAAAACAGTTGGTAAATTTTATCATTAGTGGGGCATTTGTTATATGTACTAAAATAACGACCAAGTTATTATTAGACATGATTCATTGACGTAATTATATTTACTAGTTAAAACTGAGTAAAACGAAATCACTGGGGGGGGGGGGATTTGCACAAGGGTTTTCTGAATTCCCAGTATCTTGAAAACGTCTACAGAATTGCGAATGACTCGAGCATTTGCATTTGAAACGTCTATATCTCGGCATCGGATTTGTAGATTTGTCGCAGCTTTTACTGGCGATCTGATAATCTCGGTCTCTCCAGTCCACATTGTTACCGCTTCGACTTGTCCATTCTATTTTTGTTTAAAAAAGAAAAAAATGACAAATTAATGAATATCTTCTGTACCAGTGCTATTTAAAGTAGTTAAGTCTCTAACTCAATTTCATCCAAAATCTTCGACATTGAAAACACGATTTATTTATCGGTTTAAATCAACATTGATGTTGTGATCGTACCGGGAAATGTGGCCTTGTGATATCCAGTATTTAAGACAAAATAAACATTTTACATTTGGTACACGAATCGTGTACCATAATGCGTTTCAGCGTTATTTGTAATAAGGGACTCTAAAAACGAGGCTAGGCATATTCCACAAGTCATGTCAAACGGTGACGCTATATTCTTATCTGGAGAGCAAGCCCAATAAATAATATCGGCGTAGACTGGAATAACCAGACGCTAGATCTTGAAATTCGATTGAGAATACTGGCGTATTTCGCCGAACCTAACTGATTAAAAATTACAGTAAAAACAGAAACATTTGTGTCAATTTCTAGGTCCCAAGTATTAGCGACTTAGCTCCTTTAAATTCAGCTTCTCGTGATAGTTTGGACCTAGGGTTCAGAAGCCGAAACCCTCGAGTAGGAGATTGCCAAGATCCTAAATTATTTAAATACCACAGCTACAATGTTGACTACTGTGAGAAGTGGGATCAGAATGTCCGTCTGACATATTTCAAGATTTGTTGAATCACTATCAACAATAACGTAAATTGGAACACTAGACAATGAATCAATCAAAACCATTGCACGACGCCAAATCATATTTCATGTATAATAGCAACAATTTATTAAAGCACGTCGTGATTTAAGGTGGAATATTGAATAAATGTAGCACCAAGACACTTGCCAAAACTGTTTGTGAGCCTCCATTCAAATAAGTGACGTTAATGTATTTGTTTAACTTGTATGGAAACTAAATATTGTGTATCTACATACGTCACTTCCTGTTTACATTGTAATTATTTAAAATTAAACACGGAATTTTTTTTAAAACAATAATTAGAAAATGTTTTTCTCTATGAAAAAACAAATGGGAAAATTGAATTTCTCTTCAAGATTATTTCAGACTTATTTGCAATATATTTCCTTTTATATATATATTTGTTTATTTAAGGTGGAGTTTGGACAAGAGTGTAAAAAGTGTAACATCGTTTGTTTTCCATATCATGTGGAACCAATCCAATGTTCTCTCTGTGGCCAAACTGGCTGTGACTGTCAAAAAGAAAGACATATTGATCCAGCTAAAGCCCACAGAGCTGATCTGTGTATGAGATGTAGAGCAGGGCTATTCTGTGATAAACGCAATTAGTAGACGAATACATAAAACACGACCAAAAGTATTCAAAATATTATTTAGATAGTAATTTAAAGCTACAATTTCATATTGTTAAGTTATATTTTTAAAATTTATCAAAATAAAGCATTAAGATAGATGGTATCCATAAACAGTCCTACCTTGTTAAAGAATAATCCTATTAATCCTATAATTCACTTTTGCCAGCTGAGAAATTGGCAAAAATATAATTTTCAGTTTCAAACGTTTGAACATAGCTATTCTATGGAGGTAATAGGAAAACAAGGGGGGTAATTGTGTTATTATTTCCTGTGTCAATGATTTTTAAGCGTGGGAAATAATGCCCATGATCGTATAATAGTGAGTTGATAACCTATTGAGCAAAAGACAGAAATAATTATGTTTTGACTTTCTTAGAAATTATGAAATTCTCGCTTTAAGACATCACCAACTAAATTGTAACTGAAACTTGGATACAACGTCAATATTTCGTAGCTCTGAATTTACGAGGTCTTTTAATAAATCAAAACTTACAGTGCTTTATTTATATTTTAAATATTCAACTTTACTTTTTGTCTTTAATTTTGTTAATGTGATATAGATATCAAAATATGAATTATATACATTTTTGATACTCATTTTGTAATATGTGATAATCTGAAACAACTGTCAAAATGTGAATTATAATCTATAGATTGAAGCTTTATATTGTTGTTCTCTTTTATCTTTCTTTAAAAGAGAGAGAGAGAGAGAGAGAGATTTATGAAATATGCAGTTGGTAACTACATGTACAGTTACATAACTTACAGTTTCCCCACCTCCGTCCGGGGTCTATTGGTCCACCATAGCTCTTGGAGTTTTTCCTTTTTTTTTCAAATTTGCAGAGATTTGGACATGGAAGAACTATATTGATAAATCACATTGTAATCACCCCACTCGACACAAACTAGGTCATTTCGGGACTAATATATGGTTGAATTTTATTTCAATAATTCGCTTGGTCCTAGGGGTCTTTAGCAGTGGGAGGAAACCGGAGATTGCACAGGCTACCCTACTCCTTGTCACGTACAACCGGGGAATCGAAATCACCCCCCCACCCCCATTTCTTTAAGAAAAGAAAAAAAATTGTGGTATACCAAAAAGATATATTTATTATAATTCGATGCTTACAGGGTTTTAAAAGTAAATTCGGTTTTTCGGAGTAAACCATATTTTTATCAAATGATTTTATTTTTATTAAAGAATTAATGGGATAAAACTAACTTGCATCATCAAGTCAGTTGTGTAATCCTATAGCTTTCTAATGGTACCGCTGTCAATTACCATAACACAATTTATCAACGAACACCGAAAAGAAAAGGTCAGGCATTCTCAGGCTTAAGTTAAGAATTTCCTCGACTTTCAATCACTGTTTATGAGAAACATCTTTGATCAAGAAACACAAAACTTTACACATGGTTTCTTATTGATGTATTTGATACATTAAAACACGAGGCTTTATTTTAGTTAAAATACGGCGAACAATTTTGAGTAAATTCTTAAGGCTGGCTATGTTTTGTAAAACCCAGGCCTGGTTTGAAAAACATTTTTGTTTTCTGTATTATACGATAATCCACGTTATTGGGTCTTAAATAGTTCAACAGTACAATCTACCATTCCATTAATTTCCTACAGCTGACACGAATATAAAAAATACAAATGATATTATTACCATGTTTCTTGCTCTATTCAAATGTTACAAATCTCAAGCACGCCATAAATTGTTATGACACGTAGAAAAATGATTTTACAGAAATACGATAATGTACAAATACCCGAATAAATACAAGAAAGCATAAAGGAGTGTCTATTTGGTTATAACACCGTTTTGTTACTACGGATTTTTAAAGGGATCGTTTATACTAACGGCAAGTAACATTGGTCATTTTGAGACTAAATTAGGCACGTTTTAAGTCTATGCAAAGCACTAACGGTGAAAACGAACCCGGCCGAATTTTTGTTCGCGCGGAAAATTGCGCGGATTGCCTCAAGAGCGAATTTTTGGATATGGTTCCCGCGAACGATTTTCATTAGCCAATCAAGAGTGAGCGGCCATGCTTTAAGACTTTAAGAATGTTGACAATTAAACACTCTTTTCCAATTATATTATACAGTCCTACTCACAAACCAGTCACTAGGACTAAGCTGCGTTCTCACATATCTCCAGCTCTAAACTCTCTACACTGACTTAGAATTCAGGAACGGATCGAGTTTAAAGTGCCCTCCTTAACATTTCAAACGGTGTCAAAAATGGCTCCACTCTCTATCTACAGGATATTGTTCATCCGTATGTTCCATCCATGTCCCTGCGTTTCAAATTAAAAACATTTGCTGCCAGATCTTTTTCATATATCTCTGCAACACTTTGGAATTCCTTACCCCTAAAACTAAAGTCTGCTGAAACACGAACTTCATTTAAATCAAACCTAAAGACTCATCTTTTCAAACATTATCATGTGCGTTTTGTGTTGTAGTGTGCTTGGTGTGTGTTCAGCGCTATGAGCATTTCCCTATTGTGATGTGGATTTTAGCGCATTATAAGATCCATTATTATTATTATTATTATTACAGTTCCATGCATGTTTTGTTCAGAAATATATTAATTTCGACAAGTTTAATCGTCAATAATAATTAATCATGTTTGAAAATATTTATTTGGAAAACGTCATCAAAAAACTTTTCTCAAAAACTGATTTTTGATGCAAGGATAATAACAAAATAACTAATTTCGGCAATGCTCAAATTTATGAAAGAGTTCGTCTTTACGATGATAGTTTTGATTCTCAACAACGATAACGTTCTGGGTTCGGGTCTCCGTGTAGACCAAGAAGACACTATTTTCCGGGACACGGAATATGTGCCTAGCCTCCGAGATCAAATATTCCCAATCTTATGCACTGAATATCATCGGTAGACAGACGAAGTGACGTATCGATAATTTGATGATTTTGATGATGCAGAATTCAAATTTGGCATGTAAATGGACGAAAAATTTCTACTTTTATGAGAAATTGCCTATCACCTCTGCGTAATATCTCCATTTAACCGATTTGCGAAGAAACATTATGTATAACAAACGATCATTCCATAGTTTTCTGTTTAATTTAAATCAATTCAGTAAATACTATAGTTCCCTGCAGAATAAAGTAGGAAACATTCTATCGTACATTTATAATATGGAGATCTTTTTTTATTCATATTATAGTTTACTTCTGCAGGACCACAGTAAATTTCGACAGCTATGTTTTTCATCTCTATTGGTACATACAACAGCACAGCGCCTAATCATAATAAATAAATAAACAAATCCATATCAAATGAATGGCAGGCTAAAAAGCTTGAGAATCTGCAATCTACTATATGTTACTCTTGTCATATTCCCGCCAAGTGCCCGAACCGGGTATGCTGTCAAGATAGGACATGCGCCCGGCCTAGTTAATGTAATACGTCATTGGCAATTAGATAGGCCTACATGACTTCGTAAAGCTGATTGGTTGGCAATATTGTACTAGTATGTAATAGTTATATACCTTGTTTTCATGGTGTATGGGTTGATACACCGTCTCTTTTTTGAGTGGGGCTCCGAGGCGAAAGGAATAGTTATACACCGTCTCTTTTTTGAGTGGGGCTCCGAGGCGAAGCCAAGGAGATCTCCACTCAAAAAGAGACGGTGTATCAACCCATACACCGAGAAAACAAGGTATATAACTGACTTATACTAAATACTTTTTCGAGAAAAGGATTTTGTTCTATTTTTCCCTATTTCAAAAGCATTTTTCATTTCACAAATTTATCAAAGTTTCCCCATTCAGAGCTCCCCAATTATCTCATCGAAAACGCTTATTTCTACTCAGGTAAATGATGTCAGTACACCGCACGTGCATTTCACGGGTTAAATCAGGTCAGGGAAAATGTTCATAACAGGGATATTGATTGGTTGAGAAAAGCAAACGTCATCCAATCATTTTGTACATTAGCCATTTCTTGTTGTTTTGCCAACATCCTGGCTGCGTCGATTGTAGTGGATGGCAGAAATGAATGCGGGAATTCGTCGAAGAATCCTACTTTATAATGTCACAGATATATATATACTATTCAAAAAAAGTAGGGGATATTTGATTTTTAAGTGTTATTAAAGTCACCTAATGAAACTGACGAAGAAACAAATGACAAAATGATACCCGGGGTCAAACAGCAAAGTTACCACAGCATCACAACCAAGTCAGTAACGGGTAAATCCTCCTCTGTTTGCCAAACAAGCATTGATCCGACGTGGCATACTCCTAATGAGACGTCTAAGGTCATTTTGGTCCAGATTGTCCCATTCCTGTTGCAACGCAGCAGCAAGTTCTTGGACATTGGCAGGACGTTGTTGACGTTGACGTAACCTCTGTCCAAGCATGTCCCAGACATGCTCGATGGGGGAGAGGTCGGGACTCAGTGCTGGCCAAGGTAATGTGGTGATGTTCTGTTGTTGGAGGTAACCTGTAACGATCCTGGCCCTGTGACATCTTGCGTTGTCATCCTGGAAGATGAAACGGCGGCCATGACGTCGTGCGAACGGCACAACATGGACTGCCAAGATGTTGTCCCGGTAGTACTGGCCTGTAACACGCCCTGCAACAACATGTAAAGCCGTTCTTCCAGCAACAGTGATGCCTCCCCACACCATAACAGAACCACCCCCAAATCGATCATGTCTGATGACGTTAACGTCTTGGAAGCGCTCGTTTCGACGACGCCACACCCTCCTACGTCTGTCCAAAAAATCAACAGTGAACCTTGACTCATCTGAAAACATCACATTGCTCCAGCGTCGATTATCCCAGTGTTGACGATCCCTACACCAACGACGTCTTGCCTGAATGTGATGATCTCTCAAACAAGGGATCACGCGAGGACGTCGGGCGCGAAGGTGACCCCTATGCAGTCGATTCCGAATCGTCTGGCCACTCACTCTCACACCAGTGTCTGTTTGAAGACGAGCGCTGATCTGATTTGCTGTGATGACACGATTTCTCAAGGCCAAGGTACGGATAAATCGATCCTGGGCTTGAGTTGTCGCCCTTGGTCGACCTGAGCGGGGTCTGTCCTGTACATATTGTGTATCACGGTATCTGGACCATAGCCTGCTTATGACAGACTGAGAAACATTCATCGTCCGCGCCACAACCGCCTGTGTTGTGCCGATCTGTAGCATGCCAAGGACACGTAACCTTTCATTTTGGGTAAGTCGACGCATATCAAAATTTGTTTTCTGGTCACTAAAACAATTAAACTGATGTTTCCACCCTGGAATTCAATGCCACAATGACTGTAACATTCAAAGTCAGAGTCGTGCAAATCTTGGGTTGGACCCCCATGATGATCCCAAGCATCACCTGCATTCCATGCGGTAGCTATTGGTGCGTTTGGGCGTCACATGTAACTGGAAATGTTTCTTCTGTTAGGTTCTATAGTGACTTTTTTCGTAGTCATTTGCATATTTTAGTATTAAGCCCCCAAAATCAAATATCCCCTACTTTTTTTGAATAGTATATTTCTAAGACCGAGAATATCAGTTCTGCACGAGATGTCAATGATCGCGAAGATTTAGAAGCCCGATCCTTCACAGTACAAGAAATTAAAGCCAAGCAGATGAGTCGAATTCCGCCAAACACGAGGAAAAATACCAATTGCATAGGAATATGGTGACACTTCGAGATCAGTACAAAAGATTTGATTTTAACTTTTTTGATAAGCAAGGTACATTTGCTAATTTCCGCACAGATCCATTCATTAACTTCGCGAGGTATTGACATCCACTGACAAATTAAAGCCATGCAGATGAGTCGAATTCCGCCAAACGCGAGGAAAAATACCAATTGCATAGGAATATGGTGACACTTCGAGATCAATACAAAGGATTGGATTTTAATTTTTTGGATAAGCAAGGTACATTTGCTAATTTCCGCACAGATCAATTCATTAACTTCGCGAGGTATTGACATCCACTGACAGACAAAAACAAGAACAGCCATTAAATGAAGACGAGTTGGAATTGTAGAGTTCTCAAGTTTGTAGTGTAGAAAATGCCAGTGGATTAATTTATACTAGTAATATATTTGGATTACGTGCTGCGGATGAGCATAAACCGCGACAAAATGTGAAAGTTTTTAGTGTTGAAAATGCCAAGAGATTAATTTATAATAGTAAAATATTTGGATTATGTGCTGCGGATGAGCATAAGCGGCGACAAAATGTTAAAGTGCGACAAAATGTGAAAGTGCGACTAGATATCAAAATGTAAAGAAATGTGAGACAAAATGTAAGAATATGACTGAGAGTGACGCACATTCGAAAAGTGCTGAGACAGTTGAAAATGATGACTCTTTTACCATAACATGTTCAAAACGGGTTGTAAATCATGATTTTGTTATTTTTGTCCCTTTTCAACTGATACACGGCCACCCGTGTATCGGTGTATACCCTCCCATTTTCATCAAAGAGTCGAGAAAAAGTATGGGTATAATTGATGTTATGATTGATATATGGTGGCCCAGCGTCATCATTGAGGAATTTAACAGAATTTCTTTAAAACCTAAATGAAACGCAAAGTCAAAATAATAATAAAAAAGCAAAAGCAAAAGTAAAAATTCAATCAAAAGTAAAAGTTAAATCAAAAGTAAAAACAAAAGTAAAAATCAAATCAAAAGTAAAAATTAAAAGTAAAAATAAAATCAAGTAAAAGTGAAATCAAAAGTAAAAATAAAATCAAAAGTAAAAGTTCAATTAAAAGTAAAAGTTCAGTCAGAAGTCAAAGTAAAATCAAAAGTAATAGTTAAATGAAAATAAAAAATAAAATTAAAAGTAATAGTTATATGAAAATAAAAAATAAAATCAAAATTAAAAGTTGAAATGAAATGAAACGTCGTACTGTTCCGCTCCGACTGGCTATGAGGGAATTTTGATCGGGCAGTGGCACTATGGCTTACTCTTATATTGAATTTCAACTGCCAATGGATATTTTACGTGCACGCCAACTAAATCAGCTGTCTTTGCAGGGATTGAACACGCAACCTTCAGTCTAGCGAGCCAGCGTCTTACCCACTTGGCCACCGTGGCTCCAAGTCAAAGTTGAGCCAAAAGGAAAAGTTTAATCAAAAGTAAAAGTTTAACCAAAAGTTAAAGCAAAAGTAAAAGTTTAATCAAAAATCAAAAGTAAAAGTAAAATTAAAAGTTAAATCAAAAGTAAAAATTAAGTCAAAAGTAAAACGTAAAAACCAAAATGTAAATTAAAATCAAAACGAAAATGAAACTAAAAGAATTTTTAAAGGTAATTTGAAATGTAAAACAAAAGTAAAAGTGAAACGCAAAGTAAAAACATTTGTCGGTTTATATGATTCAACAACTAAATGATAAGGATAGGCCAATTTCCTGGTATGCTGTCAAGTAGGACATGCGCGCGTTCATGATAATTATAATACCTCATAATTGGCAACTATAGTTAGTCCTACACGAGACTTAGTAAAGCTGATTCATCGGATATTGTACTAGTAATTGATTTTTTAATTCCACTCATTATGAGCGATAACAGAAGATACGGATATTTACGGTGTTCATCTTGCAAAGAGAAGTGGGAGAGTTCACATGTTTACGTGAAGGAAGGAACGAAAAAGGTAAAGATCAACAATTCAACAATACGTGAAGTTGTTGATAACTCCTTATCAGATCATATTTGATGAATATGAAGCACTGGGGCATATTGTGGTCCGCGGAGGGCGTTTAACCATCTAGGCGCGAGGAAATAATTGTTGAATTTCGGCATACCTTGGAGCGCACCTGGCCTATGTCCGAGTCTCAACCAAGAATAAGCAACTTTCACTTTCACTTTCTATTAAACATATATTTTGTATCGAATCGTTCTAAATCTTGCTTTAGATACCTTCCCATATACAAACTTGGTGATTTGATGATATATGTAGACAAGAAACTTATTCGAACTAATAAATCTATCAAAAATTTGCTTCAAATCCCTCTCAAAACATTGTGTTGACCAGGAAATACCGGACGCTATAAAAATATATAAAAAGAATTCATGTTTGTGTCATGTGGCTTGGTAGTCAACGGGTGCCGAGCTGGAGGAGAATCCATTGCATATAAAAGACGATATTGTCTTAATCGCTGTTCATTTACCATAAATGTCGAAGTAAATTCTGGGATTATCCCCGCCCACATCTTTTTCCGTGTTTTTTTTTATCTCAGAAACAGTTGTACGCTAAAGTCTGTCACATTTTTCACGTCCGCTCAAGTTTATTAACATATACATCATGCTCCCCCTAACACAAGAGGCCAGACAATCTACGCGTGCAACATTTGACGCATATTCCTGAAGCCATGGCCCAAGAAATTCCTGTCTGGTCATTGCTGGATTGGCTTCTGATACTTGAACTTTTGAGGTAGTGTGTTTATTCTTCCCGTTCAATCAAATCAAGTACATCAACATGACAGCTCTTCGTTTAATCTGGGGGTCTTCCCTAAAACTTTGGACAGTGATTTAAGGTATTAAAAACGGTGAAAGTATTGTTCGACTCCATACAGTATTGTTTACATTGTATCCGTATTGATAGCCTCGTTTGTCACGCAATTAGTTTTTCTGCAATATTCTGCTATGCACTGGTTAATTCGGCATAATAAAATCGTGAGTCATGACGTAACGTTAGGTAAACATATTTGGTCCAATTTGGAGCTCTATTTAAAGCGTAATGATATTGTTACGCAGTAAGTTATTGGTTGTTAATCGGACTATTGACCAGTCATAATTTGGAACATAAATTTGCTTCCTTTACAGCAGTGTTAAGTGGGATTAGCTCTAATCAAACAAAACACTGCGAGGAGTATGCATTTGGCGTCACTCGAGCAGACAGCACTAATTCCTCAGGCTGTCAATCACTGCCAACCTCTCATTCTTGTCCTGTAAGCGCTCCAGTATTTGTCTAGTAAGATTTGGCGTCTCTACTTTCCATATGTACCAAAATTGCCATACTTTTATTGGAAATAACCACCCGGTAAATACGTTTGTGGGACAATATCGTTAAGCGTGTTTCCAAGTTGGAGTCAGTTGTTATCTATCTTGTCACGTGTCACAAAAAATATGTCTCCAAAATACCATAATTCAGCATAAGCCCGTGTACACTTGGTCGCGATAAGCGTGCCGTTCTCGGCACAGTACCAGGCCGCGATAATTTTCAAGAAATTGACGTATTTACATTACTCTAAAATAAACGGCTTCGGAACCGTGCCAGGCACGCCAAATGTGGAACTCTTCACAGAAAAGTTACTTCCAGTCACTATGCAAATTACCCGGACAAAAACAATTATGGCGGTTGATTTAGTCTAAGCAGCCATTTTGACAGAACTGGTGACAGAATTATCAAAGTTCGCGGGAAAAGGGTCAAGGTTCACATGGCGCATGCACAGTAATCCGTACTGAAACCGTGCTCAGACCGAATAGCGTTTACACTATGAAAATTTAACCGTGCCTTGTCTGGCATCGTGCCGAGATCACCTCACTTCAGTGGGCCAAATTGGCACGTACTCAGTACGGCACGCTTATGTTTTTGACCAGTTTACACTACAAAAAAAAATTAACGGGGTATACTGGCGCACTTAAAATTTGTAATGTAAAGGGGGCTATAGAAACACTATACTTTTACTTCTTATTCCGATTCTAATTGGTTTTCATTGTTTTGCGACGTCTATCTCAATATGTTACTTTCATCATGGGTATTGCACCAAGTTTTTTTTATTATTTAAAATAAAAACAGTTGGTAAATTTTATCATTAGTGGGGCATTTGTTATATGTACTAAAATAACGACCAAGTTATTATTAGACATGATTCATTGACGTAATTATATTTACTAGTTAAAACTGAGTAAAACGAAATCACTGGGGGGGGGGGATTTGCACAAGGGTTTTCTGAATTCCCAGTATCTTGAAAACGTCTACAGAATTGCGAATGACTCGAGCATTTGCATTTGAAACGTCTATATCTCGGCATCGGATTTGTAGATTTGTCGCAGCTTTTACTGGCGATCTGATAATCTCGGTCTCTCCAGTCCACATTGTTACCGCTTCGACTTGTCCATTCTATTTTTGTTTAAAAAAGAAAAAAATGACAAATTAATGAATATCTTCTGTACCAGTGCTATTTAAAGTAGTTAAGTCTCTAACTCAATTTCATCCAAAATCTTCGACATTGAAAACACGATTTATTTATCGGTTTAAATCAACATTGATGTTGTGATCGTACCGGGAAATGTGGCCTTGTGATATCCAGTATTTAAGACAAAATAAACATTTTACATTTGGTACACGAATCGTGTACCATAATGCGTTTCAGCGTTATTTGTAATAAGGGACTCTAAAAACGAGGCTAGGCATATTCCACAAGTCATGTCAAACGGTGACGCTATATTCTTATCTGGAGAGCAAGCCCAATAAATAATATCGGCGTAGACTGGAATAACCAGACGCTAGATCTTGAAATTCGATTGAGAATACTGGCGTATTTCGCCGAACCTAACTGATTAAAAATTACAGTAAAAACAGAAACATTTGTGTCAATTTCTAGGTCCCAAGTATTAGCGACTTAGCTCCTTTAAATTCAGCTTCTCGTGATAGTTTGGACCTAGGGTTCAGAAGCCGAAACCCTCGAGTAGGAGATTGCCAAGATCCTAAATTATTTAAATACCACAGCTACAATGTTGACTACTGTGAGAAGTGGGATCAGAATGTCCGTCTGACATATTTCAAGATTTGTTGAATCACTATCAACAATAACGTAAATTGGAACACTAGACAATGAATCAATCAAAACCATTGCACGACGCCAAATCATATTTCATGTATAATAGCAACAATTTATTAAAGCACGTCGTGATTTAAGGTGGAATATTGAATAAATGTAGCACCAAGACACTTGCCAAAACTGTTTGTGAGCCTCCATTCAAATAAGTGACGTTAATGTATTTGTTTAACTTGTATGGAAACTAAATATTGTGTATCTACATACGTCACTTCCTGTTTACATTGTAATTATTTAAAATTAAACACGGAATTTTTTTTAAAACAATAATTAGAAAATGTTTTTCTCTATGAAAAAACAAATGGGAAAATTGAATTTCTCTTCAAGATTATTTCAGACTTATTTGCAATATATTTCCTTTTATATATATATTTGTTTATTTAAGGTGGAGTTTGGACAAGAGTGTAAAAAGTGTAACATCGTTTGTTTTCCATATCATGTGGAACCAATCCAATGTTCTCTCTGTGGCCAAACTGGCTGTGACTGTCAAAAAGAAAGACATATTGATCCAGCTAAAGCCCACAGAGCTGATCTGTGTATGAGATGTAGAGCAGGGCTATTCTGTGATAAACGCAATTAGTAGACGAATACATAAAACACGACCAAAAGTATTCAAAATATTATTTAGATAGTAATTTAAAGCTACAATTTCATATTTTTAAGTTATATTTTTAAAATTTATCAAAATAAAGCATTAAGATAGATGGTATCCATAAACAGTCCTACCTTGTTAAAGAATAATCCTATTAATCCTATAATTCACTTTTGCCAGCTGAGAAATTGGCAAAAATATAATTTTCAGCTTCAAATTCAAACGTTTGAACATAGCTATTCTATGGAGGTAATAGGAAAACAAGGGGGGTAATTGTGTTATTATTTCCTGTGTCAATGATTTTTAAGGGTGGGAAATAATGCCCATGATCGTATAATAGTGAGTTGATAACCTATTGAGCAAAAGACAGAAATAATTATGTTTTGACTTTCTTAGAAATTATGAAATTCTCGCTTTAAGACATCACCAACTAAATTGTAACTGAAACTTGGATACAACGTCAATATTTCGTAGCTCTGAATTTACGAGGTCTTTTAATAAATCAAAACTTACAGTGCTTTATTTATATTTTAAATATTCAACTTTACTTTTTGTCTTTAATTTTGTTAATGTGATATAGATATCAAAATATGAATTATATACATTTTTGATACTCATTTTTTAATATGTGATAATCTGAAACAACTGTCAAAATGTGAATTATAATATATAGATTGAAGCTTTATATTGTTGTTCTCTTTTATCTTTCTTTAAAAGAGAGAGAGAGCGTGAGAGAGAGATTTATGAAATATGCAGTTGGTAACTACATGTACAGTTACATAACTTACAGTTTCCCCACCTCCGTCCGGGGTCTATTGGTCCACCATAGCTCTTGGAGTTTTTCCTTTTTTTTTTCAAATTTGCAGAGATTTGGACATGGAAGAACTAAATTGATAAATCACATTGTAATCACCCCACTCGACACAAACTAGGTCATTTCGGGACTAATATATGGTTGAATTTTATTTCAATAATTCGCTTGGTCCTAGGGGTCTTTAGCAGTGGGAGGAAACCGGAGATTGCACAGGCTACCCTACTCCTTGTCACGTACAACCGGGGAATCGAAATCACCCCCCCACCCCCATTTTTTTAAGAAAAGAAAAAAAATTGTGGTATACCAAAAAGATATATTTATTATAATTCGATGCTTACAGGGTTTTAAAAGTAAATTCGGTTTTTCGGAGTAAACCATATTTTTATCAAATGATTTTATTTTTATTAAAGAATTAATGGGATAAAACTAACTTGCATCATCAAGTCAGTTGTGTAATCCTATAGCTTTCTAATGGTACCGCTGTCAATTACCATAACACAATTTATCAACGAACACCGAAAAGAAAAGGTCAGGCATTCTCAGGCTTAAGTAAAGAATTTCCTCGACTTTCAATCACTGTTTATGAGAAACATCTTTGATCAAGAAACACAAAACTTTACACATGGTTTCTTATTGATGTATTTGATACATTAAAACACGAGGCTTTATTTTAGTTAAAATACGGCGAACAATTTTGAGTAAATTCTTAAGGCTGGCAATGTTTTGTAAAACCCAGGCCTGGTTTGAAAAACATTTTTTTTTCTGTATTATACGATAATCCACGTTATTGGGTCTTAAATAGTTCAACAGTACAATCTACCATTCCATTCATTTCCTACAGCTGACACGAATATAAAAAATACAAATGATATTATTACCATGTTTCTTGCTCTATTCAAATGTTACAAATCTCACGCACGCCATAAATTGTTATGACACGTAGAAAAATGATTTTACAGAAATACGATAATGTACAAATACCCGAATAAATACAAGAAAGCATAAAGGAGTGTCTATTTGGTTATAACACCGTTTTTTTACTACGGATTTTTAAAGGGATCGTTTATACTAACGGCAAGTAACATTGGTCATTTTGAGACTAAATTAGCCACGTTTTAAGTCTATGCAAAGCACTAATGGTGAAAACGAACCCGGCCGAATTTTTGTTCGCGCGGAAAATTGTGCGGATTCCTCAAGAGCGAATTTTTGGATATGGTTCCCGCGAACGATTTTCATTAGCCAATCAAGAGTGAGCGGCCATGCTTTAAGAGTTTAAGAATCTGGGCAGGAAGTAGATTCGGATGTTGACAATTAAACATTCTTTTCCAATTATATTATACAGTCCTACTCACAAACCAGGTTTCTGTATAATCCATCCATGTAAATAAAATGAATTGAATTGAGGTTAAATATCCTACATTTCTGTATCAGCAGTTTCTACCTACTTAATCAAATCCCAACTGCCAAGAGATTTTTACGTGTACGCCCACCGAACGGCTGGACGCTGTTCCGTGACAGGCTCACCGTCCTGGAACACTGACAAGGCGGAACCAGGCTAGAAAATCCCCGCTGAACTTTCTCGGCGTTCGAATCAAAGTGTCAGCACAATACTATATAGCTGACACTTTAGATTATCTATCTGTCAAGACTTCTTTAAACCTACATACCTATCTCGTTAGTTAATAAGTTCCAGCTTCTGGTATATATATATATATATATAATGTAATTAGAATAACATCATTGTAACATATGTACAAACAAAACACATTCCCACTGTTTTGGTGTACTGTATATTTTTAGCAATTCAAGATATTGACAAAAGGAATGCATATTCAACCTTGTTATCCCCGACAATATTTTTCAACAGCAGCCGAATTCAGGTCTTAGCCGAGCATTTTAAAAAAAAACTCTTGCAATCTTATTAAGGGACAGTCTGACAACCATGTACTGGTAGTGTACATGTTATAAGATGTACTGCAAACGTGACACTATCTTGACAATTTAAGACTAAGGTGATAATAGAGCGTTATTTGAGTTTCACTTTTTGGACATTTTGACTTCACGTTGTGTTTTTAAAACTCTGGAACCGTATAGGTTTAAATCTAAGTCCATGTCAATCAGCAATACAGGAATTAACAAGTTAGATTAATAAATTTACGTACTTTAAAGTAACAACGTTTGTAACTGATCCATGGCAATCTTACTAGAAATCTACATGGGTGGCTCGAAGAAGTACGATATACTATATTACTGTCTCAAAATCTATCTATCTGAAAATCTATGTTATGAAAGGCTTCATGATTCCTGTGGAAAAATAAATGCATGGTAGTATTTACCTGATCGGTCAGTCTGCAAAGTCTATACCCCAGAGTTAAACATTGACCTAAACATTGTATTAATAAGGACAATGGGTGTTTATTTGTATAGGAATTAGCAGACGGGGGGAGATTCTCTGCGACTCATGGTGGGTACCAACATTGATATTGATCAAATTGATATGGTCAGGCAATGTTGACATCACTGAACTTTTTTGCTAGTTCAAAGTTAATTTCCAGGACACCTACTTAACCCCAAATCTTACTTGCATTCCAAAAGGCAATTACAATCAACATCCTACTTTTCTGATCCAACCAAGCTAACGAACACAAGCATTTATGCCATGTAATGTGCTATAAGGGATATTTTGCCCACTCTTCATCAAATTCCCACTGTCCAGGGTTCTTTAACAGACGCTGTTCCTAGCCTGCTTACACTACTGACAAGAATAAACCACACTAGAAAATCCTGAGGAACTTTCTTCGCAAACACCAGGATTGAACCCCAGACCTCCTGGTTAGTGAGCCAATTTCTTAAATGACTGAGCCACCAATTAAAATATAGGACATTCTGGTAATACAATACCCAGTTCAACATTATAAAGAGCTACTGTTGACCATGTGAAGGCAGTGACCATGATACATTAAACAGACCAGTGTATTATTTGATTTGATAATCTTATAGTATTAGGTCGCGTGTTCGATCCCTGCATTGGCTGAGAAAGTTGATCAGGATTTACTGACTACTGACATGGTTTCCCCTTGTCAGTGGGCCTAACAAGGACAGTTGTCTAGTTGTTCAGATGGGACGAAAACCAAGGTCCTGTGTACACATTGGCATGCACCTAAAAGATTCTTTGGCAGTTGGAATTCGATATAAGAGTAGGCCATAGCGCCGCTGCCTGGGCAAAATTTCCCTCATAGCACACTGTATGGCGTATGCCTGTCTTCATTAGCCCAGTCAGAGCAGAACAGTAGGACATTAAACCCCATTTCATTTCATTTCATTTCTTATAGTATTATACAATTAGTATTGGGCATCTTAAGTAACCTGCCTGTTTACAGTGAAGATAAACTGAGTTCAATTACAAAGTATGAACTATTAGAATTACACTATCAAGGTATCAATAGACTGAAAAGTTACGCATGTGTTCAGTTCTAGATGTATGAATGATGCAACTTTCATTTTGTTACATAGAGATATCTTGACTGGCTTTTGAGATGTTCTTAAGATGAATAATCACATACCACCAAATTCAAATATTCAACTGAGAATTCTTGAATAAGCAATGATACAATTATCATAATGGGTCTATTTTTAAAACGATTTCTGGAATAATAATGGTAAACCAAAATATAATTTGTTTCCACGGAAATTCAACTGAAATTATTTTAATTAGCACAACTAACGTAATGGGGTTATGTGTTTATGAAGTTACATAAAAATATCTTGAACAGTACTGAGATATGCTTTAGAAACAAAACCTGGATGGACAGACAGATTGAGCTCATTTCAATATCCCTCGCTAATATATGTCACCGTTCAGAACAGGATAACTAAATGTAAAGGATTTGCCCTGTATGAAATATAGGTCTTGTCAAACAGCAACTCATATAATTTATATGAATGGATCATTAAGATAATTGCACTAGTAATTAATTACTAAAACAAACAAATGGCATATTTTCAACATTTTATGTATCAAAGTCTGAATCTGAATTTCCAATACATATAGGAACACTGTCTGTTGAACCATTAACACTTAAACCACCAGTTTCCACTTGTTTTGAAACAGAGTTACTTCCCTTAACAATCTTCTCATCTTGTGAATTAGGTTTATTTTTCGATCTTTCATTTTTAAAAGCTTTCTTTTTAGGTGGACTTAATTCGCCGAAGTCTAAACCATCACTGTCACTATCACTAATCACAGGCTTTCGCTTCTTAATCTTAGAGTTATTTCCCTTAGAATGAAAGCTCTTAGAGTTGTTGCTCTTTGTTTTGTTAGGTGACACATGATCAGTTGTAAAGGAACTGAGCTGGGAATTCTCTCTGTTGATGACAACTAATTTAGGTTTTTTATTCAGTGTCTCTAGATCTGTTTTACCCGATTTAACATTTCCAAGATTACCATTGTTGTGGCTTGAGGAAGTAATGGTTGCTGACGAATTGAGTGTTTGCTTGGAAGTTGATTCTTTAGATAGTTTTTGTGACATGGTTGAATTGGATGACAAATGTGTTTTTGGGGATTCTTTGGATGATTTGGGTGTTTTTGTGGATGCCTGAGATGATTTGGGTGTTTTTGTTGCACCCAATGCCTTTACTTTGAAATCAAAGGAGATCTGACGATTTCCATTCAACAGTAAATTTGCCTTGGGACCTGGAAAACAATATAAAATAAAGACATAAAACAAAAATACAAGATTGTTGGTTGGATAAAAGAAGAATTTTGAAAATAAACAATTTCACTTTATTAAAGGTACATTATGGGAGATTAGATAAAGAGCTGAAAATTTCAGTCAAATTGATCCACTCTGAACTGAGAATTTAGCGACTGAATTTTTGGCCTAGCCTCGAACATCAATACTAAAGTCAGTACGATAAAAAACATAGTCTCGATTATCCATTTCATGATTAAATCATGAATGAAAGTTGAGCAGCAAATCAGATCCTAATCCAGGTAATATCACAGGCTAGCAATGACATCGAGAGTTGATTATGGTCTGGATAAGTTAATCAATGTCTAATTAATAGTTTACATAACATTTCAGACCTAAACAAAGACCAGCAATAGGCAGATTTAGCTCTTGCATAATGTATGTTTAACCATAGTTTAGTATTCAATGCTAGATATTAAAGATTGATTTGACCAATCTATAGACATATGTCTTAATGACCATTTTACGGAATAATACCAAATATTCCAAGCACTGCATGACTTGAGGGTAAACTCCTTGAAATCACTAAAAATCTGTCTCAAATTTATATACAATCAAATTTGAACATGCATGAGTACATGTTTAGTAAAATCACATGGAATCGAAAATTATTTTTTTTACCCCCTCTCAAAGACCTCGAAAACATTAATGGCCCTTTAACAAATATTTTTTGAAAAATTATAGCTTAAAGACGAATTTGATAAAAAAAGATAAATGAAATGAAATGGAGTTTAACGTCCTACTGTTCTGCTCCGAACTGGGTTAAGGATGACGGGCATACGCCATAGAGTCTGCTATGATGGAAATTTTGCCTGGACAGCAGCACTACAGCCTACTCTTATATCGAATTTCAACTGTCAAGGGATCTTTACGTGCACGCCAATGTATACATGAGACCTCGTTTTTTCGTCCCATCCGAATGACTAGACAGCTGCCCTTGTCAGGCCCTCCATCCTGCTTCACTGACAAGGGGGAACCACGCCGGAAAATCTGGATGAACTTTCTCGGCCAATGCAGGGATCGAACACCCAACCTCCAGGCTAGCGAGCCAGCGTCTTACCCACTTAGCCACCGTGATCCCCCTAAAAAAGATAAAGTAACTCACCTGGTAATATATAACTAATTGTAGTGTATGCTGTAAAGTGGAAATCTTCCTTTAAATATCCATTTAGTAACATATACCCTATAATAATATCAGCTTTCTCCTTAGATATAGTTGTCACTTTAATGTCCTTCACTTTTAGCGAGGCTTGACCCTTGCCAAACCAGGAGTCCACAAGTTTCAAGGCAGTGACTCGTTGATCTGTTTCGCTGGCTTGTTTTAATATAGCCAGAACATTTTTACAGTGATTCGTAATGTCAATAGTAGTGGATGTATCTGAAAATAGATGAAGCCTATAAAAAACAAAGACATAATGCTAACGGGTGTAATGCATGAAGCAGGATATGATTATCTGTTTGGAAAAAGATGAAACCACATTTAAAATGGATTAAATTTCCATATAGAAAAAGAGAGAGAAATAGGGTTTAATGTCCACTTGCCACAAACTGGGTCGTGTGACACTAAGATATGGTTCAATTTTGTTTCAATAGGGGTCTTTAGCAGTGGGAATAAACTGGAGGATCCTGAGAATACCCAAGAGGTTGGAAAGTTAACCCTACTCCTAGTCACATATGAAGCTAGAAATCAAAACTATGCCACTTGATTCAATGACAGACCTTATGATCTAAAGCACACATCAGACCAATGAGAAGAGAAAATGAGTTCAAGCATAGAGTCTCGGTAGACTCACAAGATCTATAGAAATGCTATCTTACATATTGAGTTAAGATCACAGTGGTCACACATGCCATCACATTGACTGGCGTCCCACGATTCTCCAAAATGTTGAGCTATCATCGACCGTCTACACCTGTAAACAAAATAATCTCATATAATTCTAGAGTAAAACATTTTTTTACTTTGAATACCTTTTACTTTAAAGCTTGGACGTTCACATATACCTTCCAAATCTTTAAAATATAGATGTAACATCATCCTATGATGTGGGTGTACCATTATCTTAAAGGACAATATTGGTGCCAGTCAGTATCACATATATGATAGGATGATGTTACATCTATATTTTAAAGATTTTGAAGGAATTTTTAGAGGGCAGAAATTCGGCTGTGTATCTGTCATCACTCATCACATCAGTCAGTTATATAGAGGGATGACTCGTGTTTTCCTTTGGCGTTCGTCAATTCCGATTCAGGAAACCTATATTACTCAGCTTTCGTAGCAATGATCTGTGTTAAAATTATATTTGGAATGTGTTTAACCAGCTCTATCACATATGTGATAATGACTGGCACCAATATTGTCCTTTAAATAATGTATGGACATGTCAATCGTACATTATTTATACTAGATCAAATATTGGACTTGCGTTACAATTTCATTGAAATTCAAGTGTGAGATATTGTCTCTATTTTAAGTTGTTTAATGGTCATGAACAAGACATTGTGTAATATATTGATACAACACTCGGACTTAGGCTCTCAATACATTACTTAATGTCTTGCTCTTGACCTTTAAAGAAGTACTATGTATAATTTAGATAAAGGGCTGGTCCATGCCATAATAGTACAAATATAGAAAATGAAAAATTAATATATTGAAACTTTCAGACAAATTCTTTATTCTCTGCAAATAAGCTAATATAAATATTTTAACTATGTTTAAATACAACAGTACTATTAAAGCTGATTAGCAACCCACCTTTTAGAATCTAGACAATACGCTAATATACCATATAAACATTTTAACCCTGTCTGTTCAGTAAAGACCATTGTACTCTGTCTAAATATATCAGCTAAACGATAAAATACAATACACTCTGATTTCTGTTCATCTCTACCTGAAATAAAGATATAACAGCAACTCATGAACATTTATCATAGCAGAAACATTTATCTGAAACCCCCCAAAAAGTTGTTCAACTTTAATGTCTAGTTTGTATTATTTCATGGGTTGGACACCTGAAGACAAACCAAGTAATGGGCTTTGAATGTATAATATAACAGTATTTATCCACACTTGTCTAAGAAGCATTCTGTGTATAAGATAGCGAAACATTATGGGAAAGAACAACGAAGAAATTCATAGTGGTATCCCTGAAAAAAAAACTAGCTGTGAAGGATTGGATATACCTTACTCTGTAAAAAGGACCCACAAGGCAAGAAGCAAAAGTTGTGCCCAGAAATATGAACAACTTAGATATAAACTATCATAAATATACAGTTTTTATTTTCAGTTGACCATCAGGACTAATCGCAGACAAGACTTTCTTTAATGACATAATTGTACTAACCGGCACGCCCACTCTCTTGATAAAGATTTTCCATAGATTTACTGATTGAGTGATGAATAACGAACCTAACATTAGGTTTATCAATACCCATTCCAAACGCTATTGTAGCCACTACAACCTGTCATCAAAATTATACATTTAATTACAATCAAAATTATACATTTAATTACAAAACAACCTGTCATCAAAATTATACATTTAACAACACATCAACCTGTCATCAAAATTATACAATTAATTACAAAACAACCAGTCATCAAAATTATACATTTAAATACAAAACAACCAGTCATCAAACTTATACATTTCAAATTACAAAACTATAAAATATTGAAGAGATTTCAGAATCTGTTCACCATTATTTCTAACATATAAATCCAAACCTAATTCTAACCCTTCTTTGCTGTGGTGTAGAAAATAAAGGCAATGAATGTGGCGATTCTGGTATCTAGTTCATATAAAAACTCTCTGTTAGAGATTAAAAGTTTCAAACTTTTACATATATATATATAAGCTTCAACATTTCAGCGGAGATCCTATAACATTATCAGTAAAACAATAATGAACATGTCTGGAGAGGAATGGTGTTTAATGTTTCGACTGTCATCAACATTTTGAGACTATATGGTTTTTTGATTGGACAGCAGCATTCGTACCTATTATTACTGAATTGCCAATTGTCAATCTGGTTCTCTAAAGTATGGCTCTTGGTTTTCCATCCCTTCCAAAGGACTAGGCACACAAGTAATCTGTACACATATTAAAGAGAGTTACTCACCAGAACTTGTCCAGTACTCCACATATGATGTATTCTACTTCTTTCCTGTGATGACAAATTGGCATGATAACATCCAGATCGTATACCACGTTTCTGCAACCCCGACGTCACTTCTTCAGAATCTTTTCTTGAGAAACAATATACAATACCTGCAGAAATTAACATAAAACCGGATTAAAACAAGACCAATCTAATAAGAAAATAACACCAACAAATCAATGATAGATAATCAACTTGTTTGGATTTAACCGGATTAAATAGAGGTCAATCTAATAAGAAAACAAAACCAACAAATCAATGGTAGATAGAGAGAGAGAGAGAATGGGGTTTAACATACACTCGACACAAACTAGGTCATTTCAGGAATAACATATGGTTTAATTTTATTTCAATTATTCGCTTGGGCATAGGGGTCTTTAGCAGTGGGAGGAAACCGGAGGACCCGGAGAAAATCCACAAGGTTGGACAGGCGACCCTACTTCTTGTCACCTACAACTGGGGATTCGAAACCACGCCAGTTGACTCAATGACAGGCCTTATGATACAGCGCGCACGTGCTAACCATTCGGACATCCATGATCCACCCCACCCCCCCTCAATGGTAGATAATCAAGTCCAACTTCTTTGGATTTAACAGGATTAAAAACAGGCCTATCACTAGATTTCACCCAATAAATATAGGCGGTGCTGGCATCTTTATATTGTCTCCAGAGGGCGCCAAATGTTTTTGAAATTGTTAATTTCCTATGTCTTTGTAAATACTGTACAGATCTGAACCATGTTTGGAGTGATATTCCTTTTAATTTTATAGATTTGCCTTCACAATCCCTCAAATGACCAATAGTGGCTTTAAGATCAGATATTAGGGTTGCTATGATACATCATGGATAGCCATTATCACAAATGATAATCAGGATAAAACAATTTGATATTGTTGTATCCTCATTACCAGCTATTCAGTAATTCAACACCAGTAATTAGGATATTTATCAAATACCCTGTATAGAACAAAATACCTAAATATAACTTGTAATTGTAATAAACATACCTGATTGACAATTAAACCAACTATATAGAACAAAACACCTAAACATAACTTCAGTAATTAACATACCTGATTGACCATTAAACCGATTATATCGAACAAAAAACCTAAACATAAATTCATTATTCACCTTATAAATACCTTGTAATTAACATACCTGATTGACCATTGAACCGACTTTGAATAATTTTCTGAATTTCGTCTAAAGCTTCAACTTGTGTGGCTGGCTTTGGTCGAACCTTAAACCGAAATTGTGCATTTACATATGCTGCAATTTTCACTCGTGAATGTGTTACTGTGCATGACAGACACTAATATATTAAATTACAGATTTAATATCTATTGTAAAATGGAGCTCAGAATAAATGAATTAACTGATCCTGAGGGCCGATTTAATATTTATAAATTACTGATTTGTCAGTGAGTTTTCCTTAAAATTTAATTTCAAAACATCGACTAATATTCATAAGCCTTTAGCTTGTTGACATATCCTTTCAATTGTACTTGTGTATGACTATTTATAATTATAAGAATAGAATATTATACAATAAAACCAAACATTATTTTTTATCAACAGACGAAGACTTCCAAAGTGTAATGGTCTCTTACCTGATAATAAAGATTTGGACGGTTAAAGGAAGCTCGGAACAGCTGACATTTTGGTATATTTAATATCTTTTTAACATCCTCTAATACATTGACAGTCGCTGTAGCAGTTAAACCCAGTATTGGTACTTCAGGAAATTGACGTTTCATGATTCCCAAAAATTTATAATCTGAAATGATATAATAATACAAATTACATACTGATGCATTTCAATGCAGAAGGTGTTGTTATTGATTTATTATTCTCTGATTATAAGAGAAAACAAAAAAAAAAACATTGGGTTTTTCAGACGGTGTCATGTCACTCACAAAAAGCTGCATGACTGTTTTTTTCTTTCAAAAAAAAAAAAATATCCTCATATAACCGCACGGTCATGTGTCCCAAGTTAAAGGGAGGTAACTCTATTGAACAAGCCTGGTTAAATTTGGAAGTGTCAAGTCATTTGGATTTTCCGGGCTGGCTCCCCTTTGTCAGTGGTACTGTAGAGAAGGCCAAGCAGGAAAATAGTGTCTTGTTATTTGGATGGGATGGAAAACAGAGGTCCAACTATACACTTAATGCTAAGAACCCTCAACAGATTGGATAATTAATCCTCAAATATCAAAATTATTATGCAAATACAGAATGAAATAAACTCTAACTATTTACTGGGATGAAAAATTATAAAAGCATCTTAGTGTAAATTTTTCAATAATTAACAGGTATCAAATGGCTAGTCTTCAAGCTGACAAGTAGGATCATATTTCAGTTCAAATAATGGATAAAGGAATCAACTTATACTGTACACCAATCTGATTAATACACAGATCCTATTTTATAGTTTAAAATTCTGTTTTACTTGCCTTCACAACACTAGGATCTGGAAGAGTTGTTATATAACAGGCGTGCTAGTTGATGTGAGGAATTAGCCAATGAAACAGTCTGTTACGGCAAGTTCTTGGCGTGCTCTGCACAGAACTATGGGTAAACCCCTAGAAGCATCAACGCTGATTGATTAATCAATGTCTGACGTCACAGGGTCAAAAGCCGCTCGTATAAAACACCTGACACAACCTCTCAGTACAACTGGTCAGATCTTCATATAGTGTAAGCCATTGAAAGTATAAAAAAACGAAACGGAATATAGATTTAAATTTAATCAGATTGACTGTACACCTACCTGGTCTGAAATCATGTCCCCACTGAGAACAACAATGTACTTCATCTATAACAAGTCTAGCGAACCTTCCCACTTGATACATTTTTTCTAATTTATTCATAAATCTTTTACTCTTGGCTAATTTCTCTGGTGTAACATACAACAGTTTTAACGTGGCTTTAGGATTGGTCATGGCATCGAAGATGCTTTTAGCTTCGGCAGTAGTGGTAGATGAATTGAGAGTTGTGGCATGGATGTCTAAGGCCTCCAGCGCCATGAGCTGATCCTCCATTAGGGAAATCAACGGTGACACAACTAGAGTTATGCCTGAAATAAAATAGAGACAATATTTAGGCAAGAAACCACTTAGGTTTAAAGAGGAATATTTTGCTCAGGCTTGGATATGACGAATTCAGTTCTACCTAACAAAATATTAGACCCTAATGAACTAGTATTTTTTTAATTATATAATTGTAAATGTTAAATCTCTAAAAGGCAGATCCATTCAGTAATATACAAAGATATAACAAATTCTTTACCACTTATACCGCCCAAAGCCGCCCTTACTAGGGCTCTTTAGACAGTCCTGCCACATGTCACATTTAGACCGCTCTGACTAGGGTTCCTTAGATTGCACGTCGTGTGTCGCACTTAGACTGCACAAATAAAGCCACCCTAACTAAGGCTCCTTAGACTGTACTGCCGCATGCTTATAAGTTGCACCAGCACAAATTAGTAAATGTTCTTATAATATGGAAGCTATTCACATATCTCGGGTGGTTTTAGACAGTCTACTAAGAAACAGCAATTTTTATTGTTTTGGTCTGTCCAATGATATTCCAGTAGAGAAATTATTACTTTTTTCTAATTTCCTTGGGATATTCAATATTTACATGTGCTGTAGGTATAAACTAATTGATACCAAGAAGTGAAGAGGATTATAGAATAAGGGGAGGGGAAGAGGAGAGAGAGACGGGGAGAGGGGTCATTGAGGGGATAGCCTGCACACATCAAAAGACTGTTTGATTGATCAGTAAGTTCATGTGATCTGAACACAGACTTCAAAGAGAATATATAAGTTGTCGATGTGATAGATGTGAATTGAATACACATACAAATCTGACATCTGATTTTAATGAATTTGTTGAAAGTGATTATTCAACTTTATATTTACATTCTTGAATACACAGAACAGGAATAGAGAGTGGACTATCTATCAAACATACCTTTAGATACAACTGCTGGAAGTTGAAAACACAGACTCTTGCCGCCACCTGTCGGCATTATTAACATACAATCTTTACCAGATAAAGTAACATTCATAGTCTGCAGCTGCATGGCACGCAATTTGTCTAATTTAAACACAGATTTCAGTTTATTGTCTAAATCAGAAGACCAAGAAAAATCTGAAATAAGAGAATTGAAGAAATCTAAATAACACAAATGGGTGGGTGGTGAGAGTTGATTTTACTGTTTTCTCATGAATATCTACATGTTTTGTCATTTTGACCAAAACAGACCCCTAATAACTGAGATCCAGCTCTAGAATTTAAACATGGGAAACATTTAACCCTTTAACAATTGGACCGTACATAACCGTAGATCCTCCCAAATACATCAAGTCACGTGAATAACTATATGGTGCCTATCTGTGAACTAGAGCTGTCCTACAATATGTTGGCAGCTATTCAGTTAATAAAGAAACTTGGGCATTATGGGTTATCCAGGGATATAAGGGTATGAACTACATAACTTTTCTCTTATTTTCTTCACTGAACTGATCTTGTCAATATTTACCAAGAGCTAAAGGATTAAAAGATTGATTAATTGGTAGGTTTATGTTTACCATTTTTATTCCAGTCTGTAGCTGTATCTTGTTTAGAAGATTCACTATGTTCACGCAGTATTTTTTCTAGTGAGTCTTTTTGCTGTAATAAAGATGACTGTCTATCTAATAAATCTTGTAATAAAACTTCTACTTCAGTCAATTCTTCTTTTACTTTCCTTAAATTTTCTCGATATGCTGATAAATAAAATACATGATTTAAAAAAATCAAAGGTATTACCCGACTTCACCATTTTTAACTAAGTCTACATGGACTAAGTTAGCTAAGCTGAGATATACTGATGTGCTTGTTTTTAGCTACGATTGGGTGCCTTTAGTTCCAAGTGGCAAACTCAATTTCTTTATTAATGCATGTAACATCTTAAAAATAAGATAATTTTATACTATTATGACTAATTAAACTTACAGAGGCCAATGAAGTGGCGTTTAAATTAATGAAGCATTGTTTTTAACCGACATACATTGTCATACATCTCCCATTTAAAAATGGCATTTATATATAGTAACGGCTTAATGCCTCTATTTTAAATACAATGATTTATATCTGTTTCAGGTAGGATTATATGGTTGTTGGATGTGGCAGAAATATTATAAATAACTACAATCAATCGTTGTTTTGATGAAAAATATTGTCAATTTTGCTTACTGAGGCCCGATGTGATGTGATATGCGTTGGGTTTTGCTACGTAGAACTATATAGCCCCATCTCTTATCTTGAAACACAAAGGGTTGAGAGATGAGGATTTTTATCTAGTATTTATTAGGTGTGTAATGAAGACATCTCCTTTCTCTACAATAATATATTTTAGATTCAAAGACATAATTATACTCTATTATATAGTCCAAATTTGGTCTTTGCGCCAAATTCAAGTTATGATGAGACCTGCCGCCCAAAAAAAACATTAAAAAAAATATTTTTGACGATTATAATAAAGGCACTTCTAATCATCCCTTACTGACAGCACCAATAAACATGATACCTGTACGCGACAGTCAGGATTCAATGAGAATGAAGCGGCGCTACTATAATATATCTTTGAGATTATTTATATCATTCATATTAATTATGAATTTATGATTAAATTTTAAAATGATTTATGGCGGCTATTCAGTTCGACTTTCCAGCTTTTCGGCCGTTATTGAGGGGCTGGCACAGTCTATAAAAGACGATAATGCTTTGTTAAAATAACTATACGCACCATCCATTCTGTGTTTATTGAAAAATCGTGCAAATTTATATCAATATTTACGTTGGCTTTATTTTCATGGGGGCTGACATCTTGAAAATACCCGTATTTAAAGAGTTGTCTCCCGTTGGGGGCCATACTATTTGGATTCAGACTAGCAATTATTTGTCCATTTGTTAAATAGCTGTAAACATCACAGGGTGTAACGTTTTGCTCAACATTCCGTTAGTTCAAATCCTTATAGGCACACAGTGGACCGCATTTGACACTCTCCTCGTCATAATTTTGTAGAAGTTGGACTGTTTAGAATTTTTGCAAGGAGGATTTGATGTTGACATGGTTGTCCTACATTACAGGAGCTAAACCCGTAACTCAATATTATCCATAATATTTAAATTTACAAACACGAATTGGAATTCCATATTGGTCCATTACAATCAATATTGATGTTGTATTCTTACCATGAAAATATGTGATCTTAATATCCAATATTTAAGACACAGTGAACATTTTTAAATCACTAGGCTATACGACTCGTGTATTCTATGGACATAATGGGTACGGGTGCCATTTTTAATGACCAAAGAAAATTACCCAAAGCCCCCCCCCCCCCCCCAAAAAAAAAAATTTAATATAAATTATTTTATATACGCTATTATTACCTTAATTTTGTGTTTTTAGAACCACTTTCGCCTTTTTAAAATTCCAAAGAATAGAGCTATTCGGCCTATAATGTCTTGAATTTTGACGTCTGAAGCGACCGATAACTACAACCGGCCAGATCTTCACGTAGTAGAGGCCATCGAAAGCATAAAAAAAAAAACGAAACGAAATAATCTGTAATTTAATCAGATTGATGTTGTCAAACTACCCATAGGAAATGTCACCCCTCTAAAATCGAAACAGGATGTTTATGTCGTAATGATTATCATTCCCGCATTAAAATAATGAGAATGGACCAAAACCTGGCATAAAATCTTAATTTGAACATTTCGCACTCCCTCTATGCCAACATAAATCACAGGAAAAGGTAGAACCAATTAAAGAACAATAACCTAAATCATTTTTAAATATGTGAAAAAACACAACATGTTTTCACAACATGTTTTGAAAACCAGAATTCTTTTTGTTCCAGTACATAATCAGGCCTATGTCCTTTATAACATAAATTGTATCAAAAATTGAATACAAAACAGCCAGATTGCAGTTGCAATAAATACAGTGTCATTTTAATAAGTAGCATACAGTACAGTACAATACAATACAATACAACTATAATAAATAGAGCACAGTGGAATTCTAATAAATACTGAACAATACACTTGTAATAAATTTAATACAACTGTAATACAGAACAATACAATTGTAATAAATTCAGTACAATTAGTGAATATATACAATTTAAATGAAACAGATGTGTAACCTAAATTTATGTCATGTTGTTTGAACACTCTTTAAATAATTTCCTTTAATTCTTGAAGACCCAGTGATATTTTTTGTTATGTCATACGCAAGACCTCACATTTTACGTACATGTATAAGTGTGCCGATCACCTAACTTTACCTAACTCTGTAATGGACATTTAAATATACATACATTCTACTATAAGCATTATAACTAAATTCACATTTTTATGTTCATTTTTATTAATCTACACCTACGACATTCACATCTGAATCTACATTGTGTGTTTTAAAGATTTCCATTTTCAACATTAAAGTAGCCAAGTCTCTAACCTAATATCATCCAAAGTCTTTGACATTGAAAACACGAACTATTTGTCAATTTAAAACAACGATTGAATGTAAATCAGTTTATATATACATTCATATTACATTATTATATACGTTGCGACCTATTTGTGTCAATTTCTAGGTCCAAAATATTAGCGATTTATCCCCTTTAATTATACATTTTCTGAAGTTTTAAGAATAGGTTTACGCTGTTTATGTTTATCATTAGAATGTAGTTATCAAAAAGCCTTTCTTTCACGGCTGAACCTAGATTATATAACATTAATAAAACATTGATTCGATCGATCGTAACGTCGTGCATTCGTTCGTACGTTGGCGAAGACCAAAAACCTCCCTCTGCAAATTCATCTAAGATGCAAAATTGTTCATTCACAGCGATCAAACTTTAGAACTCCCCCCCCCCCAGGAAGGAGGACAATTACGAAAACATAAGTTTGCTGAGCGCCGATGTTTTTTTGGAACATGACTTTTCACATCATAAGTAAACAAAAGTTGTCTATACTGTGGTTGTAAAATCGTTCAGACGAATCATCTCGAATTAGGGGTAGGTGATACACGCATTACCACGAACATGTACATTCTAATGATAAACTTATACCACATAAACAATACTATTTTTGACATTTATTCTCCTATGTCGAATTATACGGTCCACTGATTTACACAATACATACATAAGGATGACATCTACAATATATCCTTATGTCACGCTATACATTAAGACACAAGTTCGTGACGTCAATGACGGCACAAGAACTAACATTAGACAAATTAGTAACACGAGTTGACCACACAAACTTGGCCCATTCGCTTTAAACATCGCTATTTTTAATGGTATAGCGCTTGAATCGATGCACCTGGAGCTATTCGAAACGTTGTTTCGAGAGGTTGTCATCATTATTTGTCTTTTGTTAAAATGTAGAAACAGTAAGACCATCACTTTTGACTTCAAAGAACAGATAAATGCATAGTTTCAACTTGTTTTGACATTCTTTGATGGTACTAATGCATGGGATTATAGAAAGACGATTGTTGGTAGTGCAAGGATTAAGAGAGCGCTGGATACAACTGAAATGTATTCAATACAACAAAATTAAATTCAATTCATTTATATTTCAACAAAAAAAATTAAAATTCAAATGCCAACAGAATGAGAGTTACATCAAGTAGCACAATGTGTCGTCGCTATGGCGGACAAACTCGATAATGTCATTCAATCGCTGATTCCCCAGCCGCGAAAGTATGAGAACAAGCTAAACTATCACAATCCCAAACCGCGATAAGTGTCAACAAAATACGTAATAAACTGCATGAAATAACACTGAGCATTGGTGTAGCCAGGGTATTTGTGAATGGGGGACTGAGGGGGGGGGGATTTCTGCGAGCGCCGTAGGTACGAGTAACTTAAGTTATGTTCGGGGGCTGTTCGGGGGCTGTTCGGGGAGGGAGAGCGGTGAGTGGGGGGGGGGCGTGAAAAGTTTGAAAATTTGGGTTAAGATCATTTCTGGGAGCAAATTCTTGCGAACGAGAGGATGAGAAGTGTGACAGAATCAAAAGATCTGCCTGTCAATTCTGTCTGTTTTGATTCACAATTTAAAGTTTGAAAACAGAGTTAGTTGCTAGCATGAACAAGTAACAGTTGTATGCTCGACTTCTCGACGCTGGTTGTTCGAGGAAAACCGTCTCCTATATGCCAAGACGTGGATAGGGGTTTTATGGTGGAGATATTTTGGTTGTTGTAAAGTCTGTCGCCCCACGCACTAGTGATAGTACAAACTGTGCAGTTGACTATAACTATAAATATGATAGTGATGAGATAGGAAAAGACCACAGCAGAATAGAAGAATGGTAACATAATGGAATATACCGAGCGCCCTTTCCCCTTCACAAACACAGAGTTACGCCACGGTCACTGAGCGCCCCGACAGTACATAGATCATATTGCCTGTGTCTCGCTAGAAAGCAGTTTTATTCAAGTTGACATCCCCGCCCCCCTTCCCTTAAATCTGCGCCTGTCCATGTGCACGTAAAATGTCACTAAAAAGTTTGGAGAATCCCATGCAAATAACGTCATCATAATTATTAAGGATTTATCTTTACAGCATGGAGCCCGACATTATTTACGTTCAGTCGCCGACTTTGTATAATAACACCATGCCCCAAAAAATGTGCCATTTTCAAGCCGAATTGTGAGCTGGAACGTAAACATCCGCTCGCGCACATTTTAGCGAAAAAGTCGCACATAGAGCTTTAATTTTCCGCGCGAGTTTTCTCGCGCCTACCTGGAAACGGTCTCATTACATTAGCATTAGACCGACGCTTTCGGTGGTGGAAACGCTACATGGAAAGAACCCATTTATAACTATACCGTGCAATTACTAATCACTCTTATGACATCTTAGATGTGTTTGTGGCAGACAATTTCAATTGTAAAAACTATCTGGAAAAAGTAGTCAGTATTAAATTTGAAGTGATTTTTTACCTGATGACACCGAGTTTTCAGGACGCTTTTCAGCTTTCACAGCTTCTGCAACTGTAAAAAAAAAAGAAATTCTTATGGCTAAACGATTTTGTTTATAATTCTTCGGGGTCTTCGAACTCACGCCTGGTGAATTTAGCTAAAAATTTCACAAATTAAACATAACGAATCAATAGCTATTAAGAAGAGCAACTAAGTACTAAATAATCTTTATTTTCAAAGTAAGAAAGGATTCTTTATCTATTTGAATCTAGAATCGGAATTGTGTGAATAAAGCCTGCCCCCCCCCCCCCCTCCACGCCCCCACCATACATACCCCTCCAATAACTAGTTAAGTACGCATGAATTCTCATGATTGGTTTTATACTGATACATCAACAAAATACTTTTGGGATCCTGAACTGACTTAATATATGACTGAAATATTTTAAGTCTTAAAAGACTATCAAGGCCAGCACGCAATTAAATTTGGTGTTTTATTGTGTTAAAATATAGAACTTGACTGATTGTCGGCAATGTGCCGTTCTAGCAAACAGATTATTGCCAACATATAATTGGTAAGTTCCTAGGAATTTTCCGGCGTAGTTTACCCTTGTCAGTAGTGTAGACAATGTTTAGTGTCTAGACGTTCGAATGTGACGAAAAACCGAGGTCCCGTGTACACATAGGCGTTCAAGTAAAAGAAATCCTGACAATTGGAATTCGAAATAAGAGTAAGCCGTAACGCTGTTCGGTCAAAATGTCTCTCACAGAACACTGCATGGGATATATCCGTCTTTATTAGCCCAGTAGGAGCAGAATAGTAGTGCATTTCATTTCATTGTATCGGAATCCTAAGCTTCACAGCACTGACGAGAGGCATTTATCGTACCTTTTTATATATTAACCAATAAATATCTAGTATTTCCTAGTACAACACAATCCAACAATTCATAACCGATGAAAAGTCGGGGAGACGGGGACCATAATGGGTGACCAGTATTGGGTATGGTGTGTTTTTTTGGACAACGACAAGTGGGCTGTCGGCGACAAATCATCCTCGGTGTCCACAGGCGTTGAGCTGTTACTGAGTATTATCTGTGTTGTATTTTGCACATATTATTACTAAAACAATGATCCAATTTTAAAATCAATCCACCTAACCAATACCGATTGATTTTTTTTTTTAAATGTTAAACAAAAATAAAAATGTATTTCTTCTGACCTTGTGATGGACAATATCTTTCGACCTTATTGTATAGATTCAACAAATTAGTTGAAATTTCTTTTGTATGGTCACAAGAGGAACTCATTGAGGAACCGCATTTTAATATTCTCTTTAAAGTTCTGAAAAAGAGTCATTTCATTGGTTTGATATAAATCTCACAATATGTAAGTAATAATAATTAGAACTCGGAAGATTGAAAGGACCCCCTCCCCCCTCGAACACGCAATGGATGTAAAGATATTAGGACATGACTTTAAATGATTCATGCTAAATGGGAAACCACGGTGGTTCGATAGTCGATAGTTATTATTCTAAAAAGAGAGCGATTCACAGATCATATGAATGAATTGAAATAAATATAAAGATTGATTGACCAAGAAATTGACGACGTCGGTATCGTGTTGTTACTTTGTTTCGGTCACCCAGAACCCACTAGTCTTCAACGTACGTAGAATTACTTTTCTGGATGATAGAGACTAGTTGTTACTGATTGATTATTTTGGTGTAATGTCAAAAGGCTAGTGGCGTTAACGAGAGAGAGAGAGAAATGGGGTTTAACGTCCACTCGACACAAACTAGGTCATTTTGGGACTAACATATGGTTTAATTTTATTTCAATAATTCGCTTGCGCGTAGTGGTCTTTAGCAGTGGGAGGAAACCGGAGGACCCGGAGAAAACCCACGAGGTTGGACAGGCGACCCTACTCCTTGTCACGTACAACCGGGGATTCGAAACCACGCCAGTCGACTCAATGACAGACTGTATGATACAGCGCGCGCACGCTAACCATTCAGCCATCCAACCCCCCTAGTGGCGTTAACAGTGTATGAGACCAGGTTTGGTTACTCTGGTAACAATTTAACTAATATGAATGACAATTTAACTAATATGAATGTCAATTTAAGTAATATGAATGTTAATTTAAGTAATATGATGTCAATTTAAGTAATATGAATGTTAATTTAAGTAATATGAATGTCAATTTAAATTTAAAGCAGATACTTACTTGCACCAGAAAGTTGGATCTGATAATTTATCATTTAAATTCGGCTGATTTGTCGGTAGATCAACATCAAAACACACTTCAATATTATTAATATTATTACATGTAACTGGACCTGTGATTTTGGCAAACTCTGAAAATATTAACATAATTTGAAATAAAGGGATAACACACCCGAATAAAAGTGGTATCTGCAGTGATTTCAAACATTAACGTTTGAAATAAATTAAAGGGATAACACGCCCGAATAAAAGTGGTATATGCAGTGATTTCAAACATTAACGTTTGAAATAAATTAAAGGGATAACACGTCCGAATAAAAGTCGTATAGGCAGTGAATTGGACAAGCTCTAAACAATATTAAAGATACATTAGTTAAGAGTTTTATAAAGAGTTGGCCATTCTTGCTATAATAATTCAAAAATAGATGATAAAAAAAGAAAATGTTGAAAATTTCAGTCAAATTACTTTGTTCTGAACGGAATTGTCACTGTTAGAAGTTTGGACTAGAAATAGACATCAATTCTGTCTTCACCGTCTATAAGAATTGGCGATCTTTTGATTGACAAACGATAACTCCACCCACATATTCTCGATTATCAAGTAACATGCTCAATGGCTATGGTAGTCTCGCTTGGCAGGCGTTTCATTACCAGTTTCCGGTTGTGACATCAGCGAGTAACAGTAATTTATTGATTTAATTTTAAATGGACGAGGCTGTTTAAATCCAAACCGTATCCAACCCATCCGTGAGTCTACAGAGTTGATTTTAAGCTTGTCGTGTAAATAAAGGTCTAATTAATAATTTCTATAACATCTGAAGCCTAAATAAAGACTTGCAATAGGCAGATTTATCTCTTGCATAATGTATGTTTAACGTTTGGAATAAATTAACGGGTCTACTCGTCCGAATATTGAAAGTCGTATGTGCACAATGAACTACCTCTACCAAAAACACACCGCTCCAAAATTATTCAAATCGACAATAATAAATCGATCAATAAATTAAATCATGAAATTATTCTCGTGCTATGTTTAACCGCGGTAAAAAACTTAATATTTTTTTAAATCGCATTTTACTGGCATATTTGAACTTAAGCCAAGCACATTAACAAATTCACACGTATCTCATGTGACGTTACTATGTGACTTTGTTAATTAAGCACAGACATTTTAAAATTAAAAAGTAGAAAAGAAAACGCAACGGCTGCAGCTATTTATTATACTAACACATATCAACCCCTTCACCATTTAAGAAAAGAGAGACGCTATTTCATTTACCATCACATGCTTGGGTGAACAATTTTTCCATATTCGACAAACTGTAACTTGCATGGACCAAACTCGAATCGCCACAAGTCGTCAAAGCTGTCGTCATACAAGTCGTAAAATTTGACATGTTGCTATAAAAGAAAGAAAATGAACAATAGCCTGACTGATATCTAAACATAGTTTCCAAACATACCATTCGTAAATTATATAAGTGGATGTATAATTTCATTCATGTCTGGTTATATAAATTCATTTATGGGTTATATACATGTAAATGCATTCATAGGTTATATAAATTCATAATCCTTGAGTGACATCTGGGGGATTGAGCCCAATTAAAACACACAGCAGAATTTATATCGAAAAATCAAATGATTCTCCAAATATAGCACAATGTTTCGACAAATATTGTCGTTTTCAAGCACAAATCATCAGACACCGCTGGCCGGTTTCCTTATAAATTGTGTTGTGTTTTTCTATAAATTCATTCATGTGTTGTACAAATACATTCATAGGTTATGTGTTGTATAAATACATTCATGGGTTATATAAATCAATTCATGGGTAATATAAATCCATTCATAGGTTATATAAATCCATTCATAGGTTATATAAATCCATTCATAGGTCATATAAATCCGTGTTGTGTAAATCCATTAAAGGGTTATACAAATACATTCATAGGTTATATAAATCCATTCGTAGGTTATATAAATCCATTAAAGGGTTATACAAATACATTCATAGGCTATATTTAAATCCATTCATTGGTGGTCATATAAATCCACCCATGTTTTGTATAAATAAGTTAATGCGTTATATAAATCCATTCATAAGTGGTTATATAAATCCATTCATAGGTTATATATAAATCCATTCATAGGTGGTTATTTAAAGCCATTCATGAGTGGTTATAAAGCCATTCATGAGTGGTTATATAAAGCCTTTCATAAATGGTATATAAAGCCAGTCATGGGTTATATAAATCCATTCATATTTTATATACAAATTCATTCGTTGTCTACACATAAATCCATTTTTAAGTTATATATAAATCCATTCATAGGTTATATTTAAATCCATTCATATTTGGTGGATATAAAAATCCACCCATGTGTTTTATAAATCCGTTAATGCGTTATATGAATACATTCATAAGTGGCTACATAAATCCGTTCATAGGTTATATAGATTCACTCATGGGTTATATAAATCCATTCATAATGTATATAAATCCATTCATGGGTTATGTATATATATCCATTCACAGGTTATATAAATCCATTCATAGGTTAAATAAATCCGTGTTATATAAATCCATTCATGTGTTATACAAATCCATTCATAGGTTATATAAATCCATTCATGGGTTACATAAATCCAATCATGGGTTACATAAATCCGTTCATGGGTTAAATAAATCTATTCATAAGATATATAATGTAAAGAGGGTGACTTGACCACTTCTTCGTTTTACAAGGTTAATTTGATATGGGTAAAATGGTTTTGTTCTAATCTTTTTCTGAATCGTCCCGGGTTCTATGCTGGTGTTGGCCGAAAAATGTCTTCTGATATTTCAGCGTGGATTCCCTATGGGAGCAACGTCTAGTTGTTTGGATGGACAAAAACGAGGTCCCATGCACAAGTTGGTGTATACGTAAAAAAAGCACTTGTAAAGTTGTAATTCGACGAAGAGCACACTACAGGATGCATGCCCTTCTTACTTGTCCTCGGTTGGTCCAAAGAAGTAGCCGTAAAATCCCATTTCATTTCTTTTCTTAATTTTTGGCTCTTGTTTATAAGTAATGCCCAACAAGCCATCTATGAAATATTTTATTAACTATAAATGGGGGATGGGTCAACAGACAAAATGCTTATGTCAGACCATCCTGAGCATGGCATACTGACTATTTATAAGATAAATGGGGGTGGTGGTAGGGGTCTTTAGAAAAAGGAGGAAACCGGGGAACCCGGAGAAAACCCCGAGGTCATTTAGGAGTAGAGGCAACAGCGTGACAAATGGTATAATCTCTATTTATTTGGATGTGTATATCACCCATCAGCAGGGAGCCGCCATAGCTCAGTGATAAGGGGGAGAGAGAGAGAGAGAGAGAGAGAGATAGAGAGGGGGGTTAACGTCCACTCGACACAAACTAAGTCATTTCGGGACTAACATATGGTTTAATTTTATTTCAATAATTCGCTTGCGCGTATGGGTCTTTAGCAGTGGGAGGAAACCGGAGGACCCGGAGAAAACCCACGAGGTTGGACAGGCGACCCTACTCCTTGTCACGTACAACCGGGGATTCGAAACCACGCCAGTTGACTCAATGATACGTTGACTCAATGATAGTTGACGCACGTGCAAACCATTCGCCCCCCCCCCCCCCCGTCAATAACTAGAAGATCGGTATTTTCCATTGTGGTTTTCCCTTGTCGATCGTACAAGACGGACAGCCAATCAATGAACAGCATCTAATGCATTCCCACAAACATATACCTGCTAACCGGAATATAGAATCACACATTAAAGTGTGTTATAACTTACTGACATACTGTTAGTAAAGATCTTGTATCTCCCAGATTAAATAGTTCATCAACACAAACACCAACACCAGGACATGGATCCCTCACTGAATTAACAATAATAGTTACTATAAGCACGGAAATAAAGATAGGTTTATAGGAAACGAAACATAACGCATGTATACATTATCATATCAATCGAATATCAACTCCCAATCTCATTAAAACACAGATCCTATTTCGTTTTATTTTTTTTTATAGTTCAAAATTTCGTTTTACTTGTCGTTACTACACTAGGATCTCGAAAAGTTGTTATATTACCGGCGTTTTGGTTGAAGTGAGGGATTAGCCAATGAAACGGTATGTTACGGCGAGTTCTTGGCGTGCTGTCTGACGCCATAGGGTCAAAAGCCGCTCGTGTGACCCTTGACGCGACCTGCCACTACAACTGGTCAGATCTTCATGTAGTAGAGGCCATCGGAAGGATAAACAAACGAAACGAAATATAGATCTGTATTTTAATCAGATTGAACAATTCCAGTGTCTTAAGAATTCTAAAAATGACATAATACAGGGGAAACAACGCGATATAAGTAATTATCCGGAAAAGCAGGAACACACGTTTAAAGTAAATGATATGACAACATTCGCTAAACGGTGAGTAAGGATAAAAGAAACTGTTGAAATTCAATAAACTAACTTGAACAATGTATATTTCAAGCGGATCAGATGATATAGTTTGTCGCTACAGATTCACAAGATTTTACTAAGGCCGTAATTCTAGAAGTAATTAACAAAAATTCTTGACATTCGATCAGTTTTTTCCTTTCAGCAATTATTAATTCAATGCATGAACAGACGACAACTTTTGTAGTTAAAGCATTCACAAGCTTCTACAAAGTGAAAAGTCGGATTGATCGTTTCACTAATGTAAAAGGCATACTACATATACGACGATCGGCGGCGGCGAACGGGGGTGACTGCAATATACGACCACATTAAAATGTGAGCGCAAAACAATCAACTGAGAATGGTTATTTTTTTAAAAACAGGACGGATATTTTACTACAACGTTGGTCAAATATGTTCCTCCGATTAAATATGAATACATGGCATATAAGAAGAATATGGCCTGACCACTAACTGTCGTCTTACTTCTTCTCACGGTGGAGCCGTGGTGGTTCAGTGGGTAAGATGGGGCTCGCTAACCAGCTGTCTCGGGTTTACTCCCGGTGTTGGCCAAGAAAGTTCCAAGGATTTTCCAGCGTGCTTCCCCCTTGTCAGAGACGTAGGACGGTGGGCGTGGCAAAGAAAAGTGTCTAGTTGTTCGGATTGGACAAAAGCCCGAGGTCTTGTGTACAAATTGACATGTACGTAAAATAACCCTGGACAGTCGGAATTCGAAATAAGAGTCAAAATTTCACTCATATCACAGTATATGACCTATGTCAGTCTTCATTAGCCTAGCTGATGCAGAGAAAATTGGGACGTTAAACCCCATTCCATTTCGTCTCAAGGTATTCCCAGCAAAATATATTATTTCAGCACTTACCATGTTTACACATAATGTCCGTCTTTTCCTTTAAGATAGTGATATCCGTCTTGACATCATCCGTAACATTACACTCGGCGTTGTTTGAAACTTCTAATGCCAGGCAGTTTGATGCACCTTTCGCCATTCTGTTAAAATCATTTTTAAAATTCGTCAAAAAAAAGTAAATTGGAACATAACATGCTTTTCAATAAGACTAAATGAAAATAACAAACATCAACCTACAGCTGTAGAGACACTGTCTAAACTGAATCAGGCAATTATAGAAGCCTATAACTACCATTCTTAATTTCTATATACCTTTCGCACCTTCAAACGCGAAGGTCGAAAGTCGAAAAGTAGAAGTTACGACAAAATGTGAAGCGACAGCACGTTATACACCGCGATAATAGCGCCCCTCGTTTTTTCCTAATTTCTTATTTTCGACTTGCATTTTGACTTGTGTACCGTCTTGTCGACTTTCGACTTAGTCATATGTGTGTACTTATTGATGTCAGTAAGAAGGCACCAACACGCATACCAAGCCATAATGCAACTCGAAAAGTAGGAATTAGGAAATAAACACACGCGCTATTAGCGACCTATCATTTTGGCTTGCTGTCGTACTGGCGACTTTTCGAGTTTCGCCTCGGAAGTGGTTGTAGTCTCAATTTGACAGGTCGCATTTGAATACACGCAATTCGCGTTAACAAAATAGTCTGTATGATAAAGTTTAGTTTTGATGGCGATATTAGCGACTTATGTCTTTGACTTGCTGTCGACTTCTCTTCTCGGAATTTGATTTAGTCTCTACTTTCAAAATAACATTTGAATACGCGCATTGATAATTGAATTTTATTTACTGTGACTTCATGCGGCATATAAAATATTGGATATTATTTATTTTATTTCAAATTATATTATCACCATGGGTAGAAAACGTAAGAACGAGTCGAATAACGACGTTTCAGTACCGCCGCCAACATGCTCTAAAGTGAACGACGAGTGTGACTATTAATAAATACATCAATAAATGCAAAGTCGAAAGTCGACAAGACGGTACACAAGCCAAATGCAAGTCGAAAATAAGAAATAAGGAAAAAAACGAGGGGCGCTATTATCGCAGCGTATTATTTCTTAATTTCGAGTCGATTTTGGCTAGTATAGCGTGCTGTCGCCTCACATTTTGTCCTAATTTCTACTTTTCTACTTTTCGACTTTCGTGTTTTGAAGGGGCGAAAAGTAGAAATTATGAATGGTAGTTATAGGCTTCCATAGGGCAATACCTCGTTGATTATTCAGTTATGGGAGAGACATGAACGGAAATGAAACGGAGTTTAGCGCCAAACTCTTCTGCATTGACTGGGCTAATGAAGAGGGGAATGCGCTAAACATATTATGTGCAACCCATTGGGTACGCATTACCTGGGTGTTTCACCTGACAAACCTCGTGGGTTTTCTTCAGGATCTCCGGTTTCCCCCTACTGCTAAAGACCCTATACGCGGAAGCAAATTACTAAAATAAAATTGAACCATGTATTAGTTTCGAAATGACCTAGTTTGTGTCGAATGGACGTTAACACCCCCCCCCCCACTCTCTCTCTATTCGTACCTGTCTCATAAAGTTCTCCTAAAATCATAATTTAGAATAAAGTTGATAGTAAGCGACAATTATATTTATTAGGTATATAATAGATTATGCTTACTTGCACCAGTATAAAGGGTCTCCACCATGAATAGCTAATTGTAAGTTTGGTTGTGATCCTGGTATTGATGGTACAGATGCCATCGTGCAGCTATTGAAACCTGTACAGTTGGTGACACCCTGATGATCGTCCAGACCTACAATAATTGTTATATACCCCAAATAAGATCAGCATGGTTGCTACGACTGACCTTAATATATAAGACGTGATGGGATCATCACGATTATTTCAAAACGATTATTTCACGATTAAAACCAAGATTTCAACTGTATACGCTATAGCGCCAATCGTGATAGTGGAAACCTAGCATAAGTGTGAAATAATAAACACGCTAAGGCTAAAATTAGTTACATTCGCTTTAAAGCAGCTAAGTCTCTAACTTAATATTATACAAAGTCTTATTTGTCAATTCAAATCAACACTGATGTTGTGATCTTACCAGCGAAAGGTAGGCTTCTGATATCCAATATTTAAGACAAAATAAACATTTTACCATTAGTACGAATCTTGTACCATAGTGCGTTTCAGCGCCATTTGAACAAGTGACCATAAAGAACGAGACTATAGACATATTCCACAACTCATGTCAAACGGCGATGCCATATCTTATCTGGAGAGCATGCGCAATAGATTGGAATACAAGACGCTAGAAATTACTATTCCGTTGAAACCCATGCCGTATTTCGCTGGACATAACTGATTTGAAATTAGAGTCAAAACGGAAACAATTGAAAGTAAATCAGTTTATATACAATCAGATTACATTGTTATATTATGCGTTACGACCCATCTGGGTCAATTACTATGTTCCAAATATTAGCGATTTAGCTCCTTTAACGGAATACAGGACAGGTCTTCTACGCAAACATCATTTGGATGATACCTATTTACACAAATCCTTTTCCCGGGAACATTATGGACAAACAGCCAATAAGGTCACCTTCGTCAATGAGAGTGGGTTGGATGGCCGAATGGTTAGCACGTGCGCGCTGTATTATAAGGCCTGTCATTGAGTCAACTGGCGTGGTTTCGAATCCCCGGTTGTACGTGCCAAGGAGTAGGGTCGCCTATCCAACCTCGTTACTTTTCTCCGGGTCCTCCGGTTTCCTCCCACTGCTAATCACCCCTACGCGGAAGCGAATTATTGAAATAAAATTAAACCATATGTTAGTCCCGAAATGACCTAGTTTGCGTCGAGTGGACGTTAAACCCCATCTCTCTCTCTCTCTCTCTCTCTCCCTCTCTCTCTCTCTCTCTCTCTCTCTCCCCCACCCCCTCTTTCTGTCGTCAATGAGCGTGAATTTACAGATAATGACAAATAACATAATGGAGGCCTTTTGGTGTGCGTTCTTTTTTTTAAGTAATTATGATTACGTGATGTTTACCCATGAACGCAAGTAGTTTACATGTAAACTTTCCATTTAGCCTTTCAATATCCCACATGTTCACAGATGTGTAGGGATTGAACGGAACTAAACAAATTGCACCCAAATGGAACTGAACTTCTAATATCACCTCATGTTACTTTAACAAATGATATAATGCGCACTACTGGTTCAGATCCTATTATTAGTATTATTTTTAAAAAAAGGCCCCCCCCCCCCAAAAAAAAACAATTTTTTTTTTTTTTTTAAAAAAACAAAACCAAAAGGAACTAAACAAACTACACCCAAATGGAATTGACCATCTGATATCTCCTCGGGTTACTTTATTCCAAAACAGTCTCTCCCCCCCCCAAAAAAAACCCCAACAAAACTACCCCCAAAAAACAAAAGGAAAGAATTAACTGACCTTGACATACTTCTCTATAAAGGGAATCAATCTGTTTCATGGACAGTTTGCCATTTTGTGGTTTATCTTTACACGATTTAGTAACGCAACTAAGTACACTGGGTATTTTACTGAAAAATAAAATGGCCTAATTGAAAACGAGTTGAAAATGAACCAATGTCTTAAAACATTTTGAATTTAAATCGTTATTAGCTGTCACGCCATGGCCTACTCATTTCCATCTTTTTCAAACTTCAGTGAATATTTAACATGTTTCTAATGGCATATTCGGGATCTCGGTTCTTTGGTTCCATCTAGACTACCAGACAACTTTCCTTGTCAGGTCCTCTGGAAAGACCTGCCTTGGAATTCCGAAGAACTTTCTCGTCAACTTGGCTTCCTTCATATTTAATATTGACCCATTTAAATTAAATAGAACATGTTACTACTTACGGACATATATCTACCAGGTTACCAATGCCATTGAATGGTTTAAAACATGCCTGCAAATCTGGACAATATTCTGAAAACAGATTTAATGAGCTAAATGAAATGAAATGGGGTTTTAACGTCCTACTGATCTGCTCCGAACTGGGCTAATGAAGACGTGCATACGCCATGCAGTGTGCTATGAGGGAAATTTCGCCCGGACAGCGGCACTACGGTCTACTCTTATATCGAATTCCAAATGTCAAAGGATCTTTTACGTGCACGCCAATGTGTACACGGGACCACGTTTTTTCGTCCCATTCGAACGACAAGACAGCTTTCCCTGTCAGGCCCCCGTCCTGCATCACCGACAAGGGGGAACATGCCGGAAAATCTGGATGAACTTTCTCGGCCAATGCAGGGATTGAATACCCGACCTCCAGGCTAGCGAGCCAGCGTCTTGCCTATTTAGCCACCGTGGCTCCCTAAATGTGTTAAAACACTGTAATTAATTAATTGGTCAGCCTTTATGATAATTAGTGACTCATATAGCATTGATTTTGGTCAACCTCAACATAACAATTGTTATTAGATCAGGTGTGTTAGTCAATTACATATCTGTTTTTTTTTCAAATTGAACCATTTGCTTGATAAAGACTGGAGTTTCCTAGTCGAGACGTCGCTTAGTAATAAATTGTATTCCACAGATCTGTATGTCACTGATGTGATGTTGAACATGAACTTCAAGTGTCGCCCAACCCCCCATCCTCCATATTATTGCATAGAGCAGTCTTTTCTCTATTAGGTTCTGTTCCAACCTTCACTCCTTCTGCCAATTAAAAACTGAAACACGTTGACTCACCTTGATATTGGTTGCAGTACATATTGTATTTTGCTTCAAATATCGCTTTTTGACCGTACGGAAAAACATCATCTGGGCAACCAGCATTCTTTAAGCAAGCCATCATGTCACGTGATTGCCTGTAAGAATTGGAAACTGATATCAGATACAGACAGGGGCGACATTATTCTTATTTTGATTAACTAGCTATTAGGTAGCATGCATAATTATGAAACCTTCAAATATAAAGCAAAGTACAAATACAAATACAATCCTTCAAATGAAACAAACTGCAGATATTAAAATCTGTTTATAAGCGTATTACAGTTGATACTAAACCTTTCTATAACAGATACTTGCTGTATTTCCTAGTATATTACAGTTGATACCAAACCTTGCTGTAACAGATACTAGTTGTATTGACTAGTGTACTACAGTTGATATCAAACCTTGGCATAACGGATACTGATCGTATTTACTAGTGTACTACAGTTGATACCAAACCTTGCTATAACGGATACTGATCGTATTTACTAGTGTACTAGACTTTGATACCAAACAATTTTAAAGCCTTAATATATTTTTAAGATACACGTCGACTGCATTGTTTTAAAAACTACCAACCCGCAGCATCGATGAAAGTTGTCAACATTATTTCTGGTAATATTGTGACAGCTAGCAGCGGTATATGGTGCTATACATGATGGCATTTTCTGAAAACACACTGTATCTGTAAGATGAATACAGAAGAATCTATGAATCAATTATTGTTACGGGTGCTTTACAATATTACAATGTATGAGAGAGAGAGAGAGAGAGAGAGAGAGAGAGAGAAATGGGATTTAACGTCCGCTCGACACAAACTAGGTCATTTCGGGACTAACACATGGTTCAATTTTATTTCAATAATTCGCATGCGCGTAGGGGTCTTTAGCAGTGGGAGGAAACCGGTGGATCTGGAGAAAACCCACGAGGTTGGACAGGCGACCCTACTCCTTGCCACGTACAACCGGGGAATCGAAACCCCGCCAGTTGACTCAATAACAGACCGTATGATACAGCGCGCGCGTGCTAACCATTCGGCCATCCAACCCCCCTTACATTGTATGAAATTTAATTATAACTATCGAATACATTAGATAAAATTAAAGAGCTAAAATAACATTATAATAACAAAAGACACAATATTATAACAAAATCAGTGGAACAGGATGGAGAGTCTGACAAGGACAGCTGTCTAGTTGTTCGGATGGGACGAAAAATCGAGGGCCCTTATACACATTGGCGTGCACGTAAAAGATCCTTGACAGATGGAATTATACATAAAATTAGGTCGTAGCGCCACTGTCTGATAAATATTTCCCTCATAGCACACTGTATGGCATATGCCCGTCGTAATGAAGATTTAATTTCTACAAAATGAAGTGACGAACACAAAAGGTTATCCTTCTATATAACTGACTGAAGTGACGAGTGATAACAGATACACGGGCGAATTTCTGGTCACTAAAAGTTGTTATGTGAGGCTGTGAGAGGATATCGGACAATTCAAAAAAGTAATTGAATGTCAATTGATAAGAGAACACGAGAAAAATAGAAATAGTCCGTACATTCACTTGATTTTATTCATTCTCTGCTTTACAAAAACATGGTAATGCATCTCTTTTCCAGTGACAGTCAATTTCTGTTTTGAATTGTCAGATATCCTTTCACAGTCTCATATACTAGCGTAACAACTTTAGGTCTTCGAAGGAATTATTAGTGAGCAGACATTTGACCGTGTATCTGTTATCAGTCGTCACTTCGGTCAGTTATATGGAAGGATAACTCGTGTTTTCCTTTTATGTTCGTCACCTTCTTTTGTAAAAACCTTCATTGCGCATCTATCGTAGCAATGACCGCTGTGTTAAAATTATATTTGGAACGTGTTAAACCAGTTCTATCACATATGTGATAATGACTGACACCAATATTGTCCTTTAAAGGGATTAATCAGGAGCAAACCAATTAAAAATGTCTGTTGCAATACTTACTATCACCCTTGCCACAGTACTGAGTTTTAACTGGTGAGTAAATTTTGATTAATTTTGATACTTTGCTGGTCCTATTAGCACATTGCTTTTCCACGTCTTTAAAACATTCAATGGCATTAGGCATGTCCCTGGAATAAAATGTGTTCAATGCTCTGTCAGTATTTTATGATTAGGCTCAACTTACCTATTTAAAGACGAATTATGTAAGATTCAGATAAAAAGCTGGGTTGTTTTGGCTGTAATAGTTCAGATATAAATTGAAAAATGTATGTACAGACAATTTCAGTCAAAATACTTTATTCTGAGCGAGGTTATGGCTGTTTAGAGAATTGCGGAGTCTCGATTGTAATTGCTACCGTTGTTACGATAATAAACAAAGTCTCGATTATCAAACGACGATCTTGTTTCTATCTAATGATTTTTTTTTGTAGAACATGTGAGGCCTGCAATAGGCAGGGAATAGGCCGATTTAGCTCTTACACAATGCATTTGTTTGTTTCGAATATATCATACACAAATATACCTACTTGCAAAAACCCATTAGAGTGAGAACGTCTAGATCCCCTCCATCTTTTGGCAACGATTCAATAGCTGTAGTTGCCTGCTTCTCACATTTGTGATCCGTTATTTCACAGGAAAAGGGCGGATGAACTAAAAGGAAAAAAGATAAATAATAGTAATAAACCGAGTTTGCAATACATTATAAAGTACTTGAAAATACGCACTTTAACATATTTTATTGATCCATGGATATGTTTTTACCAGTAATTATTCCTAATGTTCGTGATACTCAACAAACCCTTCCTCAATTTGGATGTCCATATCTTTTGTCTTGGAAATGATAAAAGTTATTTACTGTACACCGCCATTTTAAAATTACCCAGTCGTGGTGTGTTATTTGGCTGTGTCTTGTTTCTTATCAAGGCGTGTTTTGTGTACAGTTCATAATACTCACGGCACGTTAGTTACACAAATCTGAATTCTGTTTACTCCACCTATACCAGCCGCGGTGGCACAGTAAGGAAGACGTTGGTTCGCTAAGCAGGGAGTCCCGTGTTCCAGTCCGAAAATCTTACTCTTTCTAGAGTACGGCTTTTCATTTGAGGAGTTTACATAGCGTGGCTCCCCAGCGAGTAAGACGCCGGCTCGCTAACTCGGAGGTTCAATGTTCGATCCCTGTTTTTACCGAGAAAGTTCATCGGAATTTACCGGATTGCCCCCCCCCCCCCTGTCAGTGGTGCAAGTCAGAGAGCCTAGCAAAAGACAACTTATAGGCGTTGGGATCGGACAAAAAAACGAGGTTACGTGCACACATTGGCGTGCACTTAAAAGATCCCTTAGCAGTAGGAATTCGATATAAGAGTAAGCCGTAGTGCCGCTGTCGGGCAACATATCTCTCATAGCACACATGCCCGTCTTCATTAGTCCCGTTAGAACGTATAGGACATTAAACCTCATTTCATTTAATTTACTCCACCTACTGTCATTTTTTTCGCGACATATCGTGACCAAGCTTTTCTCAAAATTTTCAACAGCTCCCTTTGCTGCTGTTTGAACACCCGGACACAGAATTTCAAACTCTTGGAAACAATTTGTTGAAACATAGAAAAGGCTGAAAATAAACAAAATACGTTATGGCAAATATCAGAAACTAAAATGAAATTTTTGAGCAAATCTTAATTTATTTTCAGTTGATTGTCACATCTAAATCCACAATTAAATGTTATTTTAGTTAATATGTTAAAGGGGCAGTAGATGAGATTAGATAACGAACTGAGAGTTCTCGATATAATAGTTAAAAATAGACAATGAAAAGAAAATATGCTGAAAATTTCAGTCAACTCGCTTCACTCTATATCTGGATATTAGCGATTCAATTTAAGGCTACCATTGTTGCGATAATAAACAAAGCCTCAATTATCCATTTTTTACGGTTATTTCAAGCACCAGACCACCAGAAAACTTAAATATCACAGGCATACGATGACTTCGTGAGTTGATTATGATCCTGGTAAGTTAATAAAACATACATTATGCAAGAGCTAAATCTGATTATTGCAAGTCTTAATTTAGGCTTCAGATGTTATAGAAATTATAAATTAGATCTTTATTTAAACAACAAGCCCAAAATCAACTCTGTAGACCCACGGATGGCTCGGCTACAGCTTGGATTTAAATAGGATTTCACTGGTTAATTAAATCATAGATATGCGGAGATTATTAACCGTTACGTTGACGTTATCAGTTAGATCGAGGCTAAATGATAGAGTGTACGAAGCGAGGCCGCTGTTGAGCGATGCCGCATGTCAGTCAATTGATTGAAAGTTCGATATATACGGCCTTGATATTATGTTCAGTTGTGGTTAAAATGAGAGTTTGGATGTCGGTATTATACGCTCTTTTGTCACTTGCGTTTACAGAAAAATTATGGAAATTGATAAACATCGCAGCTAACATCACCCCAGTTGAATTGCAGCCCCATTGGATCACTGTAGTGTTTCCTATTTGTCTGCTTCGGGAGTCACGTTATCACGTTACAGTACAAGAGTACACGCAGTCTAACAAGAAGTCGGCTATAATTATGCCTCATTGATTTCGTCCATTCCTTTCAAACTTTCCCTTCTTATCTATATAATAAAAGTCTTATTTTTAATCTGTAGTAAAAATAAATGTGATACGAACTGAACTGCAACCCCGTCTCAAGCCATTGAAAACGTTACTTGATAATCGAGATTATGTAGGTGGAGTTAACGCCTGTCAAGTGAAGATACATTTGACTACCATTTCTAGTCAAATATTACAACGATGATAACTTTGTTCAGAATAAAGTAATTTGACTGGAATTTTCAATATATTCTTCTTTCATCGTCTACTTTTGAACTGTTATAGCAAGAATGGCCAACTCTCTATAAAAATCTCCCATAATGTATCTTTAATGTCTAATTAATAATTTAGATAACATTTAAGGCATAAAGAAAGATTTGCAATAGGCAGATTTAGCTCTTGCATAATGCATGTTTAACAAAAGCAACATATCATCGATGGATAATCCCCCGGCATGCGGATTCATATCATCGATTGATAATCACCCGGTCTGCAGATTCCACCAGTTTAAGAAAAACGTCCATTGCAAGATTTTAGAGAACATTATAGGTGGGAATGATTTGTTGTGCCGCGATTATATTGTCTGTAGATAATACCGAGTGTTGCGAAATTTTACATTGATCATATAATTATAAATATTGAACGGAATTGAACAATTTTGCACTGACTGATATTATTTTCAAGGATTCAGCTTTCACAATATTTATCAAAATGCCACAAATGGCGATCAGAAACTTTAAACTAACTAAAGGTGGGTAGCCGGAGAAACATCCGACGATTATACTTACGGGCATATCTTTTTGACTATTCCACGTAAACTTAAAATATTGCCAAAGTCTGCGGAAACAACGCCATCTGATAACTCTATGGCCTTTCTATCGCATTCGAGTTTTTTGGTAACACATTCTGGAGATAATTGAGGTGCTGTGAACATAAAGTAAAATTATCTAGAATGGAAGCGGACTTTACAGTAAAATATGTTAAAAAAAATAATGTTAGTAAGCTACAGCATTGGATCAATCCTAATAAGAACCTCAGAATCACGGAACATTGAAATTCCTTTGTCTCTGAATCCGAGGAAATTCTTATGGAAATGTGGGCCGAAAAGCGTTGTTGGTACAAAATTAACAGTCCTTATTAAAGTGACAAAGACGAGCAAGGATTAAGGCAAGTTTCTAAATTTATTGTAAGCCGCGATTTTGAAATCATGCGATTTTTTTTTTGGATATAATCCAGTCTTGTTTCTATGGTATGTCGTTTTTGCAAGTATGCGGTTTCTGATTCTAATGTAGATGCACAGATAGGGTATTTTTTTAAAATCATGTGGTTGTGTGACACAAAAAAACCCATCTTTGGCTTGAATACTACAAGCAGCCTTTGGTTAACAAGCCCTGGACTGTACAATATTCCCTATCATGGTATCAAGCGTACGCCGTATTACCTTGGCAGTGGAACAATTTCGCCATCTTTGCTCTGACTAAAAGGGGTTATTTCAAAGTCGGTACAATGTTTCAGTTAGCAGCACATCTCTTACCTTCGGCACAGACATCCGTAGCTTTAGCCAACGAAGCTCGAAATTGTTTGACATCCTCGGGTTCCTTTGTACCATGCGGACAATCGACGACATCCCGATCAAGACATTTCTTAGCGTTTTCTACAGCCCTGAAAATATACAGTGCAAATATCACATCACTGAAAATAGACAGCACAAATATAACATGCAGTGCAAATATAGCATCTTTGAAATTATGCAGTGCAAATAATATCACATCTTGGAAATTATGCAGTGATATCAGATCTTGGGAATTATGCAGTGCAAATATCACATCTTTGAAATTATTCACTGCAAATATCACAACTCTTAAAAAAATACACTACAATTATCAAATGATTGGAACTATATAAAATAAAATAATTATAGCCCTCAAATTAAACCCAGGACAAAAAATATAGCAAGAGCATTCTCGCTGTAAACAAATAAATAAATAGAAAAACATGAAATGAAATGGGGTTTAACGTCCTACTGTTCTGCTCCTATACTGGGCTAATGAAAACGGGCATACGCCATACAGTGTGCTATGAGGGAAATTTTGCCCGGGCAGCGGCACTATCGCCTACTCTTATATCGAATTCCAACTGCCAAGGGATCTTTTACGTGCATTCCAATGTTTACACGGGACCTCGGGTTTTCGTCTCATCCGAAGGACTAGGCAGCTGTCCTTGTCAGGCCCTCCGTCCTGCATCACTGACAAGGGGAAACCACGTCGGAAAATCGGGATGAACTTTCTCGAGTTATATACCCTAATCATAGTAAATGGAAAAGTATTCCTTCACACACCGGCAAATTTCAACAAAGCACCAATTCGTTCCAACAAAGCACTAATTCCTCGTTAATTAGTCAATACAATTCAGCCAGTGAACGGAATGGCGTGGAATTTGCTCGTTAAAGTGTCGGTCGATGGACCTTGGTCGTTCGTCCCATCCGACTCACTAGGCAGACCTTCTTGGTCATGACAAACCGTGACAAATGGGCTCGTAGGTTATTCGCGGTCCACACCGGAATAAGAACCCCCAACACTGTAGTCCTGCCCGCTGGAGTATCACAGTCCGAATAAAGTTCATTAATCACGACTTTCTAGAAAACATCTTTGGATGCACGTGTCACACCATGCAGTGCTATGCGTCGCGTCCCAGACATAAAAACACCTTCGTGTGACGCATACTCTCTTCTGCTACATATTTTAATAGCCTTGTGATCGTCTATTATTGTCTTTGGTTATATTTGTAATTATCTTCTTATGGCTAGGACTCACGTTGTGTATATATTTCTACATTTTATATCATAGGTTACAGGCATAGGTTACATTACAATACTTAAAATTAACATCTCTTTCCCTCCACCCGCTAAATCGCAGATCGAGTTTACTGACGGAACACACTACATCATATGGCCCGCCTACGAATCAGTGGAATCCACGCAACCCAGATGATGTCTCTTGAACCTCAGCGGTATATCTCTCTTCATACATGTATCCTCTCTAAGAATTTAGCAGCTGTATGTCCATCGCCCAGAGCCCTCGTGGTTTCTACCTTTGTGATATTGGTCAAATATGACGTAATTAATTATAATGATTGATTACTAAGCAAACTGATGCAATGGTAATTTTCCTCTTATAAGTGAGCTGGTGACATTCTGGTTTCACCCAGAATCGGCTATGTTTTGGTTTTATAAATATTTTTATGTGTCAACCCATCACTCATTTTAATTTGAGTGCGTGACATATGACTTCTATATAAAATGAAACCCAATAATAAATTAAAGATATAATATAATGCTATTATTAATCTAAAGAGCAGAAATTCTACTAATCTTATTACATTCCTCCCTTTCTTAAGATTTTTGATCGGTATTAGGTAAAAGGTTCATTGAAACCTGCACAACGACCATACCAACATCTATAGGATTTATAAGTATTCATATCGCCTTCGATATTATTACACACGCTGCATCATATAACCAAATGGTCTCGAGTTTTATTTTTGTTGTGGTTGAGCAACTTCATCTGGATTTATCATCGTGGTGTCGCCTTGTCAGTCGAGGGGATTGAGTGGCCGAGTGGTTAACTCGTGCGCGTTGGATCATAAGGTTGGTCATCGAGTCAAATGGTGTAGTTTCGATTCCCCGCATGTACGCGTGACAAGGTGTAGGGTCGCCTGTCCAACCTCGTAGGTTCCCCCCACTGCTAAAGACCCCTACACAAGCCAATTATTGAAATAAAACATGGAACCATGTGTTAGTCCCGAAATGAAGAGTGGTCTTTAAACCCCATTTGTCTCTCCTTTCTCTCCCTCTCCTTCGTGCAGAAGGGTGCGCCTGGCAGGGAACAGGGTTTAGTCGTTCGGATGATTCGAAAAACCGAGGTCCCGTATACATGTTGGAATTTCTCTCATAGCACAGCACTGCTTTGCATATGTTTGTCTTCATCATATCATTATACAAGTCGTCACACATCCGAACAACCGGGCGTGGATTTGGATTCATATTTTAAAAAGTGGGACCAGAGTAGAGAACCTTTAAAAATGGAAATCTCAAGTTAAGCAATATTGCCGTTTTTCATTTAATTTGAATAAAATATTTATTTCATCCATTTTTCGGCAGATCAAATTCATCGTTTTAATCATGATATCAGCATTGACTACCAATATGTCACAAATTACCATTTTAAAGTGAATACTTTCTATTTAATACTTACATGCATATTACGTGAAAATCGGGGTCTATTTTAGAAGCTGCCTCCGTAACTTTTATAGTATAATTATGACTGCACTTCATATAATTCGTATAACATCCTTCACTTGTAACAATCAACAACATTAACACTGAAAATAACAAAAGCAACTTCTATATGATAATAGTTTTACTGGGTTTTTGTTTTAGCAAATATCTGAATTTGGATTTGGGAATATGCTATGTATATGTGTATCCCCTCTCTTTAATCATATACATGTATAAATTATAACTATAAACTATATGAAATTAAATGAAATGGGGTTTAACGACCTAGGATCCTGCACGGCAATACTATATACCGGAAAACACCGGAAAACAACCGGAAAACAACCGGAAAACACCATTTTATACTGAATACCGGACAACACCGGAAAAACACTAAATACTGGAAAACATCCTAAATACCGGAAAACACCCTAAATAGGTAACCCGGAGCCTGGTCCTCTGTGTGCGGTTTTGGACCAAGTGAGCGCCGATGAAGGATGGTCAAGGTCATTACGATGTTCGTTTTACAATATGCCGCCCCCCCCCCCCCCCAAAGAAAAAAGTTCCAATTTTTTTTTCTCCAAAATTTTTTTGACGAAAAAAATTTCTGTCACAAAAATAAAAAATCGAATTTTTCCGAAAAATTAGTTTTACAAAAAACATTCCGTAGAAAATAATTTTACAGAGAAAAATACTGGGAAAAAATTTGATTTATTTTTTGAGAGAAATTTGGGAGAAGAAATTGTTAAAAAAAATCTGAAAAGAAATTTTTCTTTGACCGTTAGGCGATCGCTCGCTTGTATGTTAATGGAATTATTTCATCAGCGCTCACCTGGCCCAAAACCACACACGAGGACTAAACTCCGCATTACTAAATAGCTACCGGAAAACTTAGAAGAGTAAACTGTGCCCGAGATTTTTTTTAGAGAGCGCGCCGCGCCGCGCCGCTCCGGGAGGGATCATCTTCAAGGTGGGACGGGGGTGGAACATAGATCTTCCGTTCCTCAACCCATATTATTTCCACAGTCATTGTCATTAATCACAAATTACGGGATGATATACGAAAATGCAGGTTTACTTTGAAATAGTGAAAATGATACTTTTCCATCTACAATCTTCCGATCAAAGGATGCAAGTTCTTACACAGTGCAGCATAATTTGTGCAACAAAAGACATCTCGAATATCGATTGTCGGAAAAAACATTTTCTCGGGGACATTTTTTTTCCGAATACGCATTCGGTGTAAGTCTTCAGCCACCAGGAAGTGGTTAACATAGTAATGTTTTATTACGATAGTAGTACATAAAACAAATTGGTTGCCTGAGGTTCTCGGGGTGAAAGTAGCCTCATCGGCTAGAGTCCTCTATTTCACAAACAAAAACAACAATTGCTTCCTTGAAAATTTATCGATCAACCCTTTTCACAGACGTCCAGCTTACCACTTCCCGTCAATGCAGTAAGATAGAATATGTAGTTTTCTCAAGGACAATTGGGCGAAAGTTGGGGTTTTCTCAAGGAAAACTGGTCAACGAGTTGGGGAAAAAAGCTCGAAAAGTAATCCAGAAAAAAATCCCGTGTGCGGCCCTCGGAATATGATGGAATATGTTTAATATTATTATGGTTCAAGTGATTATATTTGACCCTGGAATGAAAGTAAGCTCAGAAACAAGTAGATTTTTAGCCCTTCCAACGAGATGGATAGCTCTTGGAAAGGATAGACACTTTTCAGATTACAGCCTGTCCGAGAATTGCGTGGCATCCATTTCGTTTGGTGATTAGGACACATAGCGGTTAAACCTGGAACTTCAACTCGAACTATTCAGAGATTTATTAACTCGCTTTTGATGATACTTGCTGTTTTATGATGCGATTTTTTGGAGGAGTTGGCCTAATCGTGCCTTCCACTAATTCGTACCACCCTGATGCCAGCGTTACTGGTAAGAATCAGGAGACCGACGCAACCGGCATATAACGGGGCCCTCAGAGGGCTGTGTTTAATCTACTGAAATACTGAAACACTGAAATCTACTAAAATACTGAAACACTGAAATCTACTAAAATTTACTGAAAACTAAAATTAAAATACAAAATAAAATATCGTCATCGATGGAGGTAGACTGATTGCGTCTTTTAAAACATTCAAAACATAATAGGCATTAACAAAATTTTGGAGAAAAAAAAATCGGAATTTTTTTTTTTTTTTTTTTTGGGGGGGGGGGGCTATTTGTAAAACGAACATCGTAATGACCTTGACCTTCCTTCATCGGCGCTCACTTCGTCCAAAACCGCACACAGAAGGACCAGGCTCCGGGTTACCTATTTAGGGTGTTTTCCGGTATTTAGGATGTTTTCCGGTATTTAGTGTTTTTCCGGTTGTTTTCCG